CCACAATCCAGAGGAAAGCACGTCTGAAATACCTTCCCGTTCTATCATTGCGCGCGGCGATACTCACTCACGTACATGATTTTCCATATGTTTTTGCAGATAACACGATAAACCGCGCGCAATAACGTCTGTGTATGGCCAGCTAATGAACATAAAATCTACAGTGTGACCCATTTGTTTGCGACTCACCCCTGTAAAATCTTTATTTATTGTGCGATTTTAACCGGATTTGTTTTAAAGTGTAGATCTTGATAAATTGTATTTTTAGAGCATATTAGTACAAAATACAAGGGGTACTATGTCAATTTTTAAGAGTAAACTTTTAAGAATTCATATTAGCGATTTTTTTAAACAAATTATAAGCACGGCACTGGGAACAACCACCTTTCAAAACGACCCTATACTAAATTTAAAAAAAAATGCACAATAATAACAAAAATTTATTTTGTCAAGTTACCCATGAAAAAAACATTTAAAAAAATTTAACTTTTAGTAATAGTAATAGTACCATAGTACCAAATTACCAAATTTTACGAAAAAAATGCACAATAATAACCACAAAAATTTATTTATTATTTTTATGAAAAAAACATTGAACTTAGTTATATAGTAACATACCGATGTTACTATTAGTTTAATTTTATTTCAATGTTTTTTTCATGGATAACTTGACAAAATAAATTTTTGTGGTTATTATTGTGCATTTTTTTTCTTAAAATTTTTCAATAAAATTTAGTATAGGGTCGTTTTGAGGGGTGGTGAATCCAGTGCCGTACTTAAAATTTAAAAAAAATCGCTAATATGAATTCTTAAATATTTACTCTTAAAAACTGACATAGTAGGCCTTGTATTTTGTAAAAATATGGCGTTTTTTGCTTTAAAAATACAGCTTATCAAGATCTACACTTTAAAACGAATCCGGTTAAAATCGCTCAATAAATAAAGATTTTACGGGGGTGAGTCGCAAACAAATGGATCACACTGTATATAAAAATTCATTAAGATAACAAAATAGCAAAAGATAGTAAAAGTCATAATAAAACCATGTTAAAAGATAAAAATGATGTATGTAAGTTGGTTTTAATAAAAGAATTATTTTAAACAGTAAAATTTTATACATAAAACATAAATCAAACATTAGGTACATACAGGGCCGAGAGGGGGGCAAAAGGGGGCACTTTAAAAAAAATTAATAACATATTAAATGAAGGTGCCTTGCTAACTTCATATGAAGTTAGAAAAGCACCCATAAAAACAAAGAAATATTCGAACGACAAAATTAATTTATTCACAACTAATTAGCGACAAATTAACGGCAAATTATGCACCTAATCGCTTCTTGATTGGGAATGGATGCTTTGCTAACTTCATATGCATCCTGGACGTTTCTCCTAAATGTGTATTTACATTTAAAAATTACTTTTTTTTTTAATTCTCAGGAATAAAAAAGTTTTAACGATTCTTGGTTTTGACGCTAAGCGTCGGCCTTCAAATTTTGAGCTCAGCACAAAAAGACACTTTTCAGCCGAAAAGCTGGTGGATTTTGGGCACACCCATATATCAGTTATTAAACATGGGACCCACATCAAATTTATATGAGTTTATAATGACATTATATAAGTTCTGCGCAAGCAGAATTTAAATTGAGTTTTGCGAAAAAAAGTTAGTTTTTTAGTGTGCCCCCCAGCTTCCTGCCCCCAATTTAAGATAATTCAAATTAAAGTAGTGCAATTTATAATTCTCTAGTTTATCTACAAATTTCAAAATTTATTTAAATAGTCCAAGTATTATAGATTTTATACCATTTCATAGTTTTTAGTGTGCCCCCCAGCTTCCTGCCACCCAAATTTAAGATAATTCAAATTAAAAGTGGTGAAATTTATAATTCTCTACAGATACTACAGTTTATCTACAAATTTCAAAATTTATTTAGGTAAATAGTCCAAGTAGGTAGGTATTACCTACAGATTTTATACCATTTCTATTTTTTTAAATTTAGTAAAAGAAATAATAAAAATTTAAAACCTGTAATACTTGAATTTTTTTAATAAAATTTGAATATTGTCGATAAACTTCAGTGAATTAAATATTGTACCACGTGGCCACTTTAATTTGAATTATCTTGATTTGGGGGGCCAGGAGGCTGGGGGGCGCAATTTAAATTCTGCTTGCGCAGAACTTGTCTATATAATGTCAAAAACACATATAAATTTGATGTGGGTCCCATGTCTAATATCTGAGATATGGGTGTGCCCAAAATCAACCAGCCGCCACTGTATTACTTGTATTACAATGTTTTATCTTCAAGGCACAATTTTATTCGTTAACCCGATACATAAAACGTAGGTACCTACAAAGGTTTATAATAATAATAATTATAAAAAGTTTAGTCAGGTTAGGTAGATCTGACAATTATCAAATTTTTTGGTTGGTCCGAGGGTTGGTCCAAACGGGTCCAACCACAGATTATACAAATCTTTCCGATTGGTCTAAATAATTTTAACAGCCTAGGCGATAATCAATCGCTTTAGTAGTAGTTTCGACAATAATAAAGTTTAAATAAAAGACCACTTTAGGATAAACTTTTTTACTTAATTAGGCAATAAAGATTTTAAAAAAATGTCCTTGAAAAAAACAACAATAATAAAACTGACCTGTCTTAAGACCGGTTAGGCCTATTTGAGACCGCGTCTTGTTTCTTATTTAAATTTATTTCATGTAGGTAGGTAGGTATATCGATAGACATCCCATCCCATCCAAATTTGATTATCTTTATCCCTACATAGGTACTCGACTACCTATTAAAATAATATTTAAAATATATATAAAATACAGAGGGCTTTTAAAAATATAGTTTTTAAAGCCGTCGGTATTTTTAATAATTTACGAATTTTTTTAATTATTATTATTGTTCTCGTTCTTATCAATAAGAATGAGAATAAGAATAATAATAAAAAATTCTCCTTACACAGCATTTTTATATAACTATGGTAGGTATGGTAGGTACCATAAACACGGGTGGCTTTAGCTCACTTTCAAACTTAAGCTTAAAATTTTTGTGGTTTTAACAATCATAAACATTAAAAATCAAAAACTGGGTGCAAAGTTACCCCCTGCACTGAGAAAAAAGTTCATGATTCCCAAATAAAAAGAATAATTAAAGTGTAATAACTACCATTTATTTCTTTAAAACAGTGATTTTCCTGTAAAATAAACTCAATAGAATCACTCAATTGACAGGTTTAGCGCGAAAAGATTTTTCATAAAAAGGTTAATCACCCGTGTTTACGGTATACTTTAAATTCCCTTTCAACGGATTTTACGGAAATTTGTCAACACCGCTTTTATCCCGACGACACGAGACGGTGAGAGTGGCGCTTCCCCGTGAAATCACGACCTCTCTCCTTTCCTGTCTGTTTGTCGCGCGCCCCTTTTTTCTGGACGCCCTCGCACATACTCACACACGCAAAACATTTCTACACAGTCAAAAATTAAAATTTATCACCGGTTATCCCCGTTTATCACCTAATAATAATTATAAACAAAATGTGATCTCAGAGTTGCTTCATCACTTTAGGTGAGAAAAAAATCCAAGTAAAAGTGGGAAAACGCAGTTTAATAAGTTATTTTAAGATTAAAAAATAATGTTATTTTTGTTATTTTAATGTTTGAAAACTGTATAAAACATAATAATCTCGATAATAATATTCTAAACACGTTTCATACATAAAAAAGTTACAAATTTGTTAATTATTATTAATAACAACTTTATGATAATATAAACTTTTTTGACATAAACTGTCAGAAAATACATCAGTTAACCATGTTAAGTCGTTTAGGTGCGTTTAGATGTTTCATAAATCGGCTTAGGAAATACCTACATAGTTACCGAGTTTTAAAAAGCTTAATATCTTTTTGGAAATTTGTCTTCTATATTTTAAAAGTCTCTCAGGTAGGTATATTTAACAAAGTTTTTTTATCTTCTATTTTCCTAAAATACCTATAGAAGATCTTCTATATTTCAGCGTTTCGGAACTTAAAAAACATTATGTTTAATTCTGGCAACCCTAAGTGGGACACTATTTTTTTTTTAATTTTCAAAAATGTTGGGCGACAAAAATTTAGTTCTGACGATAGATTTAATACGAACTAGGTACTTAAGTGCAGTTTGTTTTTTTTATTCGCAATTTGAAAACGTCAAAAATTCGATGGTTTAGTTGGCTAATTCTGACTCTCAATTTATAATTGGCTAAATTGAGTAAAACAAAATAATTTAGTGGATTTATGCAGCACAATAATAAATTATTTATTATTATTATTAGGTATTATTATTTATTTATATCCAAATAGGTACTGTTTGGTTTTTAAAAATTTCTTTTCCTTTAGAATTTTCTGTTATCTTTGGCATTGTTTATTATAATTCTAACAAGTCAATGATAAATATCAAAGTAAAATAAGGCATTAAACAGGAGTACCAATTTTAAACATACCAAAGTAGGTACAACATCAAGAACACTAATAAGTCAAAGATTTATATACAGTACCAACATAATAAGAGGAGATAAATTGAAAATAAAAAAACTTTATAAACATTTATAAATACATGTACATTTTTTAGAAGTGAATATAGTACCTATACATAATTTAAATTTTAAATCACGTGATCATTATTTATCAAGAGGTTATGACGTTGAATAAGATAACGATATTTTTTCAAGTAATTTAAAGGAGGTATCGATTTACACTGTTGTTTTTGTTTATTGCTTGAACATACCTAATTTAACAAATTTTAAAAATAGGAATTAAGTAAAATTGAATTTTGACACTTAGCCTAAAAATTTTAAAATGACATTTGTACATCAGTTGATGAATACAGTATTTTTTATCGCAATTAACAAAGTCGATCTTTTTATTAGTTGTCACCAGATCTGACGACATTTTTAATCAATGTCATTGAGAAGGTATTTTATAAATAAATTGGAATAAAAAGGGAAACTCACCTAACACTTAAATCCACAACAGCCTCATCAACTTCCATTTTCTCCATGAGAGCCCAGTGTTTCGATCAGCTGCATGAAATAAGGCCGAATTGGAATATTGGATTCATTAGCAACACAACAAAACTAACACTGATGGCATATAGAAGAACAAACAGGGTGAACAAAAATGATCGGCAATGAATTAAGTGTTAAAAAGTAGTCCGTGAAAACAATGGAATTATGTAAATAGACAACGCGTTTGTCTCCCGCACACTCCACCACCGGTAACAATTATCAAAACTTGTTAATCTAGCTGGAGCAAACGGTTAGATGCGTTTTTCTCGATAATTAATTACTAGGTTATTTATTTTGTGGAATGGTTATTATCAACGTACTGTCTGTGAAAAGACGATTAAAACGACACCAAACATGGCACAGTTATGAATTAATGAGCGAACGCACCTTGGGTCAATTAGTGCACCGAAAATTGTAATCTAAACCTCGCGTTGACAAATCGATTATCTTTCTGCATGTACACTTTTCTGAGTAAAAACTCACACTACCCTGGCACACACAAGTTTTCACATATTCCGATTAGCATTTTTCACTTTGGTAATCCGTGTGCAACAATTTGTTTATTATCATTTGTTTTAAAACAAAACACGGAAAATTGAACCGGGGATACCACTTCACTCCGGGCCAAAATTAACAGACGACTGATTCAATTCAATATGGCGTGGCCTTGTGTTGTGTCTACGCTGACATGTATCAAGCACAGACGTCAACACGTCACTTTCACTCTCCCGGTCATGTCGGATTCTGCAGCGACATGCGTCGTAGACCTCTTCACCCGCATTTTATTCATACGCTACACGACGTTATCCCTCGCATATCCAACTCTATCCGTTTCACTCTAACAAATATAAAAGTATATCTTTGGCACCGCAAGTTGTGTTACACAAACTTGTTCGCATAATACTTCCTAGCCAATCACATGGTGTTTGTTTTATTAGCGCCATCCTTGTCTTACACGATCATTCGTCTATTTAAATCGCCGGCACGTTTGTCTTGTTGCTATTAATCGTTTATATACCTATCGCAAGTAAATGGTTTTGTTTCGTGCGGTTGCTCTTCTTTTCGGACAAAATGGTGATGCAATGCATGCCATTGCCGGTACGATTAATTAAGTAAATAAGAAAATTCACTTTTTTTAATAGTATTTTCAAAATTCTCGCACCTACTTACTTGGTCAAAATTTAAACATACCTTCAAAAGGTGCACTGCCTATTTATTTAAGTATCTTTTTTATATTTAATACGTAATTAATTATTGCTTAGGTAATTCAGACACGGACTTACTTATTTGCAGAGCCGGCTTGGTTTAAAAAAACTGTCACGTTAGACGGATTAGAATTTTAATTCTAAACAATTTTTTTGTTTATTTTATTCAATGCTTAAGTGCCCAATTGGGCTTGAAGCTTTAAAATTCCAAAAATATATATTTTATTCAAACTACCTATAAAGTTTAAATTTAAAAAATTGTGCTACGGGGCATGCTCATATGAGCATTATATAATACAAAACAGGGCCGAAGAAGGGTTCGAAAAAACGACAAAACATTTTGCTACCAAGGTTTTTAAAAATGAATTTGATTTTTTTTAAATAAAATTCAGTTTTAAAAACCTTGTCAGCAAAATGTTTTGACTAATTTTTTTTTTTTTTTAATATTAATAATTATTTTTAGGTATATAAATATAATTATAATTATAAAATTAAAAACAAAATTTTGAATTCATTTAAATATCCATAGAGAACTGTTAAATTAAATTATTTTTTTTTAAATAATAACGTTAGTACAGTTGTATTCATTAAAAAAGCGTACAAGAATTAGAATGAGAGAAAACTGTCAACATTATTGCGTAAAACCGGCTTTCCACTGACTTAAGTCACTATAACTGACAGTAGAAAATAAAAATGCCTCATCAGTTAAAAAGGCTCAAATAGTATCAAGAATCGAAGAAGAATGGTCAATTCGTACTGTAGTATAATAGAAATAAAAAATCTATATTAAAAATTAAGCAACGCTGGGAACAGGAAGATTTACTAAACCAAAAAGTTGGTTCAGGTCGTCCCAAAATGTCCACCCCTGAACAGGATGCTGCTTTTTTGAGATATCTGAGGATTTATGGGAAACTATACAACTATACTAAACCTACTACACTGCTGGGAAAATATTAATCCAAATATTGTATTAAATTTAATTCAGTTCATCCCAAATAGATTGGCTCAAGTAATAGAAAAACAGGGATGCATGACAAAAATATTACATTTTATTATTATTTATCATGTTTGTTTTTTCATTATTAAAAGGTAATAATTTTTGTAATAATATTTAATTAACCTACGACGTCAATGCTCTTTATAACCTATAATAATTATTTTAATGACTTATGTCAGTGATAAGCCGGTTTTAAGCAATAATATTATTTTGACAGTTTTCTCTCATTCTAATTCTTGTACGCTTTTTTATTGAATACAACTGTACTTGTCTACCGTTAACCGTTATAGTATATTATATTACACGAGATGTAAGTAGAGTTTGAACGCTGTAATTACAAACTTAATTTTGATACCGCAACGTCATCGCTTGACAAACGGTGGGCAATGCATGGCTGATGACGTTGCGGTTTTAAACAAAGCGTTCGCACTTTGGTATACCCGCGAGTCGCGTAATATCATTACATCTCACGTAATGTACTATAGTATGTATATATACAGGAGTCCCAGAATATGTGGGCAATCTTCCGGATTTAGAACACATAAAAATAATATGACAAGTTCCTATAAATTTTTTTCCTACGCCCCTCCCTACGGAGATACAGGCCCATAACGGACGCCCCTGGAAAGAAAAAAAGGATCGAAAATTTCAAAACACTCCATTTTCAACTGACACTCACATTATTTAAATCGGCCGGTAAATTAAAAAATAAATAAAAATAAATGTAAAAAATCCTATTGTACAAAAACATTTTTTTTTCGTAAACAGTACCTTTAGGTATAAAATTTTATCGATGTCGATCAAGATTACCTTTTTTTTTAGTTTAAGATTCAAGCTGACTAAAAATATCTGTTCGAGCTAGTCCGTCCCTGGCAAACTAAATAAGCCAAATGTGATTAAAAGTGCCCATTTTAAGGAAACTTTCCTAGTAAACAATATAATATATTATATTATATTTAAAAATTATTCAATTTCAACTAGTAGTTCAAAAGTAATTTAAAAAAACGATTTTAATTATTAAGCTTGATTTATAAATTGCCTTCCTTCCTCCCGTAAAAGATAAACAATACGAAAACCGTGGTGCCGTTTATAGATTCCTGTACGGAAGGAAGGCAATCTATAAATCAGCCTTTACACGAATTGGGCTTGCGGAGCGAGTTTTTAATAAATTAATGATCTTGAGATGTTTATAAAAATAATTACACACAATACTTTATCTACGACCAACGCTAAGTAATTAGTAGTAAATTCAGAATTTAAAGTCAATTTCATTTGACTTTTTTATCTGACAAGCGATTTTAACCTCACTTTTTTCCAATTTGACATTTGTTAAACGGTTTAGAACTGTCGAAAATACCTCTGTCAACCATGTCACAGAATACATGTAATAATGTATAATAATGAATAATGTATTCTGTGACCATGTTTTTAGTTCAGCTAGCTTTTGTGCGGTTTTTTTGTTTCCATAATAATTTAATGGGTGATTTTTTGGATTAGAAAATTAACAGCGTTGCCGAGTTTTTTTTAAACATAAATGCGTATAAACACAAAATATACTCTGAAAGAAATAAAAAAACAATGTTGTAATTGGCTCATAATTTTTTTTAATTAAACCTTAATGTTTATAGAAATTTATTTTATGTTTCTGTACTGTATTTTTTTATAATTATACTTTATCTTTGCTCTTATAAGCATATTCTTATTTATTTATTACTTTTTTAAATGTGCGCCAGATCTTAATGCGCAAGTCAGCTACACACATCTGAAGGTTTAGGAAGGGGAATTATGGAAGCAGTATTTTTCTAGACTTTCAAAATAAAACAAAATATCAGATGCCAAAAATGTATTTAACTAAACATACGTTTACACTGAATAAAAAGAAAAGTTCACTCCACCTCTAGAGAGCGAAATTTAGGTATATAGATAACATCATAATTGTGTAACATTGAAGAAAGAGATACATTTGATTAATACCTATAATAAAATTATACTACATTTATATATCTTACTCTCTACCATAGACTACACAAGAAACAAAAATATTTTTTGTCGGTTTTTTAATATTTTTTTTATAATTCAATTTTTGGTGCTACTGCTTGGTCATAGAGTGTTTCTATAATTTTTGCCTGTATTAATTTTAACATACATTTATTTAATTTTTAATATTTCTGCTTTAAGAGGCAAAATTTTAGTCACACTCCATCGTAAATAATTTGTGCATTATCTACAAACCTAACAGATATGGAACATTCAAAAGTAAACATTGTTTTTTTAAGTTTACATTATTACACATAAAACAATAACACCAATACATTTTACATATTGATTATTACATAACTAATGTGCATATGGAATTACAGTTTTTCGCAAACTTTGTTTTTATAGTAACAAATGCAAGAAATATGAATTTCAGTTTGTCTACAACTGTAATAATGCATAATGAATTAAAGAGACAGCCAACAGTTAAAATAAAACAAAACACAATTTTTTTAAGACAATTTTTGTTTAAATATTATTTATGGAACAAAAACACTAGGTATATTGTGAAAAAAATTGTTATAGTTTGCAAATTTTATTCTAAAAATTACCTTTTAGGATTTTCAAAATGAAATTATTAGATAGAAATTTCTAATACAGTAATTACAAATATTAGCTTATTTTAACAAAGATTTTTTTGGGTAAAAATTTAAACAAAAACTGTTCAACTGTTGAACATCCCTTTAAGGTGAATATAAAAAAAATTAAAATAAAAAACAGAATAATAAACTTAAAAACTAATATATGAAATTACCAGTCAATAATTGTTTAAACTGCCCATAATCTCACTTCAAATACTATTTATTAAATTAAAAAGGACAGTTTGATTTTTAAGTGTCGCCTTTTATTGTCTTTTTATTTTTTTTTCATTTCATCAATAGTGCTCTCTCTATTTTCGACAGAAAGTGATTGGCAACACTTGTTTTACTCAATTGCAGCCTCTAATTTTTTTCGCCCAGCCAACTTTCTTTTTGAGGTATTTTTGTTGGACAGTCACCGAAAGCGAAGCATTTTTAACTGTAGATGGCGCCTCCAGGCACTATGACTAACAGGCGCATGTGCAAAACTAAATTTGAATCTCTTTTTAAGTATTGCGCATGCTCCTGCCAGTAAAAGTGATTGTAGGAAACACCTTGCAACATTAAATTATAAAATTCTTGTCTATTCAAGTAAAATCACGTTAAAAACGCTTCCACTTTCAGCAGATTTTACTATTAAGAAAGTTGCTGCTGAGCTGAAGTATAGAAATTGTGCTACAATTTCTAGATAGACGTTCATTGTAACATTTGAGCGTTATTTAACATATGTACGCTGTTACTAATGTGTCCGTTACATCACAGATAGATTCATGATAAGATGGCAACATAACCTCAAACAATCTACGCAAAGGGGTTGCATACCTCGCATAAACGCCCGCTCTCGAAAATTAAACTCTTTGGAAGCTCTATATTTTGAAATACTGTTTGTTAATGCAAAAATTAAGTTAATAGGAGGGCGTTCATGAAGAAATGCAGTCACTTTTTACAACGCTCACTCACACATCTATAATACATAATAAGATTTTAGTTATTTTTTTATTCAACGCTTTCGACTAGTTTTATTTAGTTACAATAGCTGCTAAGTTTTGCTATGATCACTTCAGACTCAGGTACTAGATCTTATATCATCTCTTATTTACATTTATGCTTAACTTATCCTTTGTTTCAGATTCGTTTTCAATTTTTGCTCTAAAAAAAGTGACGCGCTTTTTCTGAGATCCCTCGTTTATACAGTTCGATTTTTTTTTTCGTTACGTAATGCAGCTAACTATTCAATTGTTACTTTAAGGTGTCTGTTCTCATACTGTTTTGTTAAAAAATATCGACAATTTGTTCTTATAGCAGTTATTTAATGTTATTAAGGGATATTTGTAGACAAAACAGTGGTCGAATGGACCCTTAAACCCCCTATAAAATTAATTATTTTTATCACAGTTCTCAGGTGGTGTACTGAACATTAACTTTTTACGTATATAAATATAATGTTTTATGGATTGGATCTTTAGAGTTTTACAAAATAATGAGATATTTTTTAGGTCTATGATGTTTTATAAATAAAATATGGATAAAAATCTCTTAAAAAGTGATTAAAATGTAAATTTTTAAACAAGACTTTTATTAATATATTAAAAATTTATAATTAACGTAGGACTTATACAGGGTGTCCCGAAAATGACGCTCTATCGGAATGGGGCTTATTTCAAGTATAAAAAAAAGCTTTTTTTCCACGTGTAGTTTTTAAGTTATTAGAGTTTAAAAATTGTATTTTATTTTTTTTATTTATTTAAATTTTCCGAATTTTCAGAAAAGTTCATTTTTGCATCTGTTTTCTTGTTTGAGTCTTTAAAACTTCACAAGCATTTTAATAATTTGCAAGAACATTGATGTTTTAAAGGTTCGCTTTTTTATTTGCAAGGTGCGGAAAAATAAAATATTTAAATATAAATAACAAAAATTAAAATTAAAATGTGCGTATTTTTAAATTTACAAAAAAATCAATTTTTCCTAAAAAAGACAATTTTTCCAATGCCCGGAGAAAAAACGAAAAAACAGTTCTTTCCAATTTTTCTTTTTATTTTTTTTTCGACGCTTCAGAGAGAGATTTTTCCTCGCTTGATCTCAGAGAGCCCCCCAAAAATGCTGGCCTACCCAGTTTCAACAAGCACCATCCGCCACTGATTGAATAAGATTTTCTAATGACGCTTCAAAAATAAAAAAATAAAATATGCAAACAATAGCAAAGTTGTGATGATTTAAATGTTAAGTTTAACTAGATGCCTTGTTTTTGGTTTGCATAGCAACCCATGTTAGATATGCAGTATAAGAACACAGCGTTGCGAGATTTTTAAACTTAAAAACTACTTGTCGAAAAAAAAAATGTTTTTTACTTAAAATAACTTCCCCTCACAAATTACAAAAAAAACAACTTATTATACACTCAAAATAATAAGTCTTGTTTTAAAAATGTAGCTTTTAGTAAAAATTTTTAAAGTCATGATGTTTTTTATTCTTTTAATTTTTTTTATTAGACATTAACTTGTATGGATAAATTAAAAATATTATTCTGTAAGTTGTTGCCGTTTAAAAAAAATATTTTTTGTCAAAACGTTTTAAACAAGATTCTAAAGCAATGTTTCATTAATTTGTATAACCCTGTATAATTATAAAAGCGCGCCACATACGAATACATTAAATATTATTATTGGAATGGCTATTTTGTAGATCTAAAATCCACATTTGTATTTGGTCGTGTGGTTATATTTAATATTTATTTATTATAGGAACAGCACCTTTTGTAACGCGGGCAACTCCCCACTCGGCAATAATCGGGTGAAATTCGGGGAGTTCCTACCGCTTTTTCATTCGCGGGGAAGGACAACGTGGTTGGTGTCGTTTTAATTTTTTAAATAATTTTTCGTGACACAACTGCCAAAAAATTATAATTACTCGTAATTACTATAAACTCTGCTATATACGCTGTGTTTGTCGACAGTTTGTTTTTTATAACGACATGAAATAAATACAATATATACGCTGGGACAAACACCAACAACAATATAATAATTATTAATAAATCACGTAAAACTTTAATACTTTTTTTTTCTTTCAGTAAGTTTAAACAGCATTAACTTTTCTTGTAAGTGGGGCGCATATTTGGGTTTCATTGCACATTGCCATTTAGGTACTGAAATCGTATTGCGCATACGCATGGGTGGTGCGAAATATGAATATTTTTAAAGTTGAAAATGCCTGTATATAGAATACTTGTGTGGTAAAAATTTTTTTTTTTATTCCTTCCACCGCCCCCAGTGCCATCTTAAATATAAAAATTATAATATTCAGACGGAGGTGGTTTTTTTTAGCCAAGATGTTTTTTTTAGCATAATTAACTTTTACAAAATTAGACAAGTAATTTGAATAAAAAAAAAACAATGGGGCCCCCGCTCAATTTTAAAACTATAAATATTTTCATATTTCAGACTAAGCGGGGATCCGCCAATGTGATTTGTGTGCCTACTTTGAAAATGAAAGTGTCCAATTTTGTAAAAGTTACTGATGTACAAAATAAACTTTTTGGTAAAAATATTATTTAAAAAAAAATCCTTTCACTGCCCCAGAGTCAAAAACAAGCAAAATGAGCAAACCTGCGATCAATGTCAAATATGAAAATATTTATATTTTTAAAATTGTCCAGGAGCCCCCATTTAACTTGTTTTTTTTTAATTAATGTGCCAAATTATATTTAGGCTCTAAAACAATCTTGGCTAAAAAAAATTGTTTTTAACGGTTTTCTACCATTGACTGAATATTATTATTTTTATATTTAAGATGCCTCTGGGGCGATGGAAGGAAATCAAAAAATATTTTTTTTTTCACCAAAATATTTTTTTTATCATACATAAGTTTTGTATACACAGGCGTTTTCAATTTTAAAAATATTCATATTTCGCATTACCCTAAAGTCTATTCAAATCCAAGCTGGACTAAATGTAAACACAATCCTCCGAATCGACCAATAAGAACTCACAATCCGAGTCACACCATCAGAATCGACCAATACGAACGAGTTATCATGCGTCTGGGCGTTTTTGTTTAGTCCAGCTTGGATTTGAATACACTTTAGGTACCTGTCTTCCATTATAGACACTAGATCCAAAATATTCGCCCCTTCTTGCAAAAACCCAACAAAAACTTACTAAATGCACTGTTTGATCATTTGATTTCAAACCCTCTCACTCTTTATACCTTTAGATTGTTAACTTGTTCTTATTTTAGTTGGCCAACTATATTTTTAATAGTTAGCCTTCAACAGTTCTTGTGGCCTGTTCATTTATCGAAAAAAAAATAAAATAAAATTTGAAGACGGCCTTATCTTTGGTTATTATTTACAAATTATAGATTGGAAACCGTATTTTTTCGTTACTTTGACAATCTTTTAAAGACAACCAAAAATTAAGATAAGTTGTTAGATTTTTATTAAACAGGTACTTGGTAGTAGTTGGCATTTAATAATCTACTCCTTTCGTTTTTTAATTTGTTAGTTAGGTTTGTTAAACGTTAACAATCGTTGCTTAATTTGCTTGGATATACTTATAAGAGTTTTTATATCACAGATGTTTTACTTTTCTTATAGCTAGTTTATTAAAAAATAAAATTACGTGGAAAAATTTTCATAGCACACACTCACAATATATGAAAGAATTAACTTGATAAATTGGTTAATAAAAAGAAATAACCTAATATCGAAAAACACAACTTAGTGTGCGTTATGAACTAATTTTTCATTAAGAAGATCTTACTTCGCACGTCATGTATATTAAAATTTGCTTGGATGGCAAAGTAAAGGCGCCCGTCAGTTTAAAGTCTCCATGGTCGTTTTTGGTGTTTAAATCTCGTCTTATAGGTAATCCATGAAAAAATCAAAAGTAGCGGGCGCCATCTATCGACTTAAATACTTAAGTAATCGTTTGAGATATAAGAGGAAGTGCAGATGCCTTCTCCGCATATTAAAATAATAAAATTATAGACAATAGAATACAAGGTTTTCTTTTGTGGAAACTATTAGTAATAATAGAATTGGTGTTCCATAAGATTTGGGCCCTACATTGTTACATCTTTACGTCGCACGGTAAAATAAAATCATTTGAATGATGTAACTAAAGCAATCAGAATGGATGATTTAAGGGGGTATATAAGTTTAAGGGGGGTTACAACATATGAGGTTTTTCTAAGGGGGGTTGGTACTTAAATTATTATTGAATATCTGCTAAAACTATTGGCAACAAATACTCATCAGAATCTCCAGCCACTGGGTTGCAGATGACTGGATGAAGCTCGCTGCTCTTCACTGGCTTCCATGGTTTACCCATGTTTTTCGGAATATCCTAAAATAAAAATGAAAAGTATGTGTTTAGGAAAATAATAAAAAAAAATAGAAAAAATCGAGGGGTAAACCACTGATTTTTAAAATTAAAAATCGCATACAAATTAAGGAAAAAAATCACATGGCGGCCATTTCAAGCGAGCGAAACGCACGAATTACAAAACTGTTTTTATAAAAAAAATTGTAGATTATTTATTATATAATATTTTGGCATCAAAATTGGCAAAAATATTCTTCTTTTATTAGGTTATACATTAAATAAAAAAAAACTCAAGAAATATTTTATGAAAGTAGATATAATTTTAATAATTGAAAGGTGTGGACGGGACAAAAAAAAGATTTATCTTGTCCCGTCCATCCCTGTCAATTATTGAAATTATCTCTACTTTTATAAAATATTTCTTACGATTTTTTTTATTTAATGTATACCCTTATAATAGAAGAATTTTTTTGACAATTTTGATGCAAAAATAATATATAATAAATTAGCTACAATTTTTTTTATAAAAACAGTTTTGTGATTTGTCCCGTCCATCCGCTTGAAATGGCCGATGGGTAGTCATATGCAACGCGTCGCTAAGACAAATTTCTTGATAAGAATTTTTCCTTATTGATAATGATTCTTAAGGGTAAAATAAGAAAAAATCAAAGCACATATAATGCTAAACGGTGGTCTTACAGTTACCCCTTGGAAAAAATATTACATGATAAACCAGAATGTATAACAGGATAAAATATTAAAAATTGTTTATAAAAACGTCCCTTCCGTATCAAATCGCCCAAGCGTACCCTAAAATCACGGCTTTGTATAAAATAATTATTTATTTTTTTATATTCTTATATTAAAAGGCACAATTAAATTAAAAAAAAACCGAAGGCTTAAATTGACAAAAAATATAAAAAAAAATCAAATCGATTTTGCCAAAAAAATTTGTTTTCGTAAAATTTGTAAAAGACCAACCCAACCACTTGAACTTTATGTACAAACAATTTGGTGAGGGTGTTATCCCCCTTTTTTTAATCGCATTTAACTTTTGTTCTTTAAATATTTTATGTGAGATTTAAATGCTTGTACATTTAAAAGTAGCTGGTATATAATATATTATATTATATTTTTAATTTTTAAGGTATACTAACTATTGATGCTCTATTTACCAAAAAAAAAAATGTTAGGGGTGATTTTTCATATAAATTTATGTTTCAATTTTAATAAATTATAATAAAGTCAATTAAAATGCAATTTAAAATAAAGAAACACCCTTGCCAATTTCTTTATTTATTATTAATACAATTGTTTCCTTTACACATTATAGTTATTAAACAAAGTGTAAGGACAGTGTAAGCTGAACTTCCGCCTTTTGTATGTATGTTGATATACAATACACTTTTTTTTTTATTATTATTATTATTAAAATAATTACAATATATGTAATTGTATGAAACTTTGTCTTTTAAAAAATATGGTAAGTCACCCATAACATTTTACTAAGACATATTTGAGTTCATTCACATATTTTGATTTCTAGTTGCTGTATTGTCCATTAGTTATGGGACATCCTGTATATATATATATATATATATATATATATATATACAGGGTGTATCTGAGAATAGGCGCACCCCTGTAACTTTTTTATTTATAAAGATAGACACATTAAATTTAGCATGGTTAATAAGGATATAAAATGCCACTTATAAGAGTACAAAATGAATTTTTTGAACTTCCGGTTTCCCCGGAAATGATACCAACTTTCGATTTTTAAATGGAATGCCCTATATATTTTTACATATTTGGAATCCTGAGAAAATTCTGAGTCAGACAGCATCCTCAAATTTACCTTTTGACGTTTTGTCATCAGAAAATGCATCATCATAAAGATCAATCTAGAGTGCTTTGAACTATCTTATTTTCTTTTAATGGATTCACACAATGCCTGAAAAATGGAACTTGCCTAAGAAAGTTGTTATTCAGCTGTTCCCAGCAGTCTAAACTTGTCAAAATTCGTTTTTCTCCAATAGTTGAAAGTACTCTAGATTGATCTTTATGATGATGCATTTTCTGATGACGAAACGTCAAAAGGTCAATTTGAGGATGCTGTTTGACTCAGATTTTTCTCAGAATTCTTAATATGTAAAAATATATAGGGCGTTCCATTTAAAAATCGAAAGTTGAAATCATTTCCGGCGAAACCGGAAGTTTAAAAAATTCATTTTGTACTCCTATAAGTGGCATTTTATATCCTTATTAACCATGCTAAATTTAATGTGTCTATCTTTATAAATAAAAAAGTTACAGGGGTGCGCCTATTCTTAGATACGCCCCATATACACGAAACACGAATTTTATGTAAATTTTGCTAATGATAAAAAACATTAAATTGAATTAAATTGATTTGAAAAAATAATCGTAAAATTTAAATATAGTCAGTAGGGTCCTTTTTGCAAAAGAAGTCATTTGAAAATGTCCAATTACAAAATAATGAATGATTTATAAAGTTAAATTACAAAATTATAATTTTATAAATCAATTTGTCAAATAGTTAAAATCCACAAATAAATATAAAACCGAAACCCAATCTAAAAAATTGTAAAACCTCTTAAAAAATATAGATAAACTCTAAAAATTGTAAAAAATAAAATAAAAAAAATTAACAACAATCGTGAAGTTTCAAGAAAAACTATTGTAAAGCATACATATCGCCCTTGATACCTGAAAATGTATGTCACTTTTATATGTAACTTTTCAAAAGGGACATAACAAACTTTGCAGTATCAACGACGATATTTTTTAGAGCTGGGAATAACGAGTAATTTTTAGGAACGCGTTACTCGTTATCGTTCCAACGTAATAACGTTCCAAAATAATGTTATTAGTAACGTTACCGTCACATTTTAATGAACAAGTTTAGTTGGGATTATAATATAAATATATATATATATGATTGATGGTATAGTTTTTTGCATTATTCGTTATCTTTCTCGTTCCTGCTGCTACAACGAATTAAGAATTTCTTATTAAGTTTCTTATTAGGTAGTTACTATTTAATTTTTATGTTATTAGTTATTATTTATATTATTAGATTATAGTATACCAACATTATACAACATTGTTATTAATAACAACATGGTTATTAATAACGATGTTATACAACGAAACGATGGAACGGTATAGGTTATGCCGTTCCATCGTTATTAATAACGATGTTGTACAACGGAACGATGGAACGGTATAAGTTATAGGAACTCTTAACTGCTACATACAAAATAACTGGTAACGCGTTATTTTAGTTCCAGTAACGTTCCGTTCCGTTCTTGATGAATAACGTTCCAAAATAACGTTATCGAAATAACGACCCACCTCTAATATTTTTAGCCCAAGACCTTAAAAATATGCACCTACCCAAAATTTCATCAAAATTAAAAGTTAATAATAACAAATGCGAAAAACTGTACTTACAATTAAAAAGCTGGTGTTGACGTTATCGCTGAACAGGATGTCGTCTTCGGCGATCTCGAGGTTCTTGAGTTCGGAGCCGCGCAAACGCCCGATCGCCATGAGGTTCAGCTCGCAGTACTTGTAGCCGTAGAGCACGACCTCCTCGAGGCGCTTGCACAGCCACGCCATCAGAACGAACGGGTCGGGACTTTGGTCGTACTGCGGCTCCGCGAACTTCCAGCTGCCCTTGTTGTCGCTCAGCGAGTCGATCCACATCACGCTGCGCAGCGTTTCCGGGTAGTAGGACGAGAGGGACTCCAGAACGTGTAGGTTCACCTACGAATTACGTATTTTATATTGATACGAGGTGTGTTCAGAAAATAACGGGAATTGTTAAATTTCGCGGGTTCGGAGGGTCCAGTTGTCATAAAATTGGTATACATGCCCCCGAAGTATGATAAAAACTTTAGCTGTTTTCATTGTTTACTTTGTCTGTGGCAGCCGCTAAGGTTAGACGTGTTTTATGAGCTCGGCGATTTTTCGTTCGTTAAAAGAAATGGATCAAAGAATTTGTATCCAATTTTGCTTAAAAAATGAAATAAATTCTGTGAAATGTTAACAAAGGCCTACAGTGAGTCTGCTATAAGTAAAACAAGAGTTTAATAGTGCAGGGCTCCCACGGTTAAATTACAAATTTTATTTAGGAATTTAGGAGTTTTTTTGGAGAATTTTAGGAGAAAAAAGTATGCAAATGAATTTATTCAATTAAATAAAAACAACTCTACATTCTACTTAAAAAAAGAAGAAAAGAATAAGTAACTCTTTTTAACAAAAATATAAATAAATTCCACTTCTTTTGTACAAATAGGTTATATTGACTAGTTTTTTAGCTAAATCGCTCGACGAGTTTTTTTTTTAATAAAATGAAAAGTGAGGTAAAATTACTACTTTTGTATAACTACAGGTAGAAATTTCACCACACTTTTAATTTTATTTAAAAAAAGCGTCGATAGATATGGCTAAAAAAGTAGGCCAAAGTTTAATGATGTTAGTTTAAATTTTAACAGTTTAGTTAATAACTAACAATAATTGTAATGTTATTGTTACAACATTCTTTAGATTGTTTACTATCTTAGCTATCATTTAAAAGAAAATTAAAAATCCTTTTGTTTGATATATAATATAACACGGTATATTTTTGTCGAAAATTAACGAAATATGGCTAAAAATTTGTCATTTTGTAGAAGTCTAGAAGCTACTACATGGATTTTGTTTTATGGTATATTTTGTTGTTTTTTAAGAAAAATGTAGGTTGTGATACCTATATCATTTTAAAAAGAATTTAATAAACTAGAACCCAAAAATGTATATTTTTTAAATTACTTTTTAAAAAAGAATTTTTTTAGCAAAACTATTTGTGGGAGCCCTGCTAGTGGTATAAGAGTTTCCAAGATGGTCGTGAAGACGTTGAAGATGACGAACGCCCCGAACGCACAAGCACATTAACAACATGGAAAAAGTGGAATAAATGGTTATAAACCATCAGAGAAGTCGTTGATGATGTTGGTATATCGATTGGCTCATCCCATGAAATTTTTTCGAATGTTTTGGGTACGAAACGCGTGGCAGCAAAATTTGTTCTAAAATTGTTAAATTCTGAACAAAATTTTTGGCCAAAAACAATACTGTAATGATGCCCCAGCCTCCATATTCGCCAGACATGCCTCTGTCTGACTTTTTCCTATTCCCAAAAATAAAGAGAACCTTAAAGGGCCGTCGTTTTGCAAGCATAGATGACATTAAAAGCGCATCGCTGAAAGAACTAAAGGCTATCTCAATTCAAAAAATGAAAATTCCCGATATTTTTTTAACACACTATAACTTTATAACTTTTTAACCTCGTTTTTTTAATTATTAGTATCTACTTACGCTCTCGCAGAAGAACACCTTGATATGAGAGAGCGGCATGCTCCTGCGCAGCACCAGGTTGTGCAGGTTGTCGATGTCGTCGAAGGCGTGGATGATAGTGAGACGCATCTCGCAGCCGGGGTGAAGTTCGCTGAAGCGCTGCCAGGCGGCGTTGGTGGTGCCGGGGTGTGCAGGACGCACGCTGTGCAGATGGACTACGAGACGTTGCAGCTTGCGGCACTTGTCCAGCGTGCCCAAAAACGCGTCCGAAACGTGGTCGTAGTCCACGCTGAGAACCTGAAAATAATAAAAATGGGTTATTAATTGTTTTGACTTTTACACTGTTTAAAATATCTGTGGTGTAAAGAGTAATCTTAAAATGGTGTCAAAATCCAACACCAAGTGGTGTTAATATAACACCATGAATTATGGTTAAAAATGTTATATACAGCAAACACCAAAACGGTGTTTATCTAAAAATATTTGAGAAGTGCACCTACACAGAAAAAAAGGAATAGTTCATTTAACTATATTAATTTAGTTGACCCATAAGTATTTATTTTTGTATTTTTTTATTTTTATCAACTGTGGGAAGGTTAATATAAACAAAGATTAGTCTGACGGTACTAAACCAGATAGTTATTTTTTTTTAAATTGGTTAAATTAACCTAGAAAACTTTAGTGAAACCAACCCGCTGTATGGTTCACTTTACTAAATATGTTGTTTGTAAAATAAGAGTTACTTCAACCTAAAGCACTCTGTTAAAACGATTAAAACAATTTGCCGTGTATCCCCGGTTGCATAGTGTGTACCGATCGCAGCATGAAATTTTGAACAGTGTACTTGATGAAACTCCATATTAACTACATAAATTTAATAACAACTGTTTTGAAAGTTTCACGTAATTTATATTCCCATCACCATTAAACCCAACTAATACTTTCAATACTTGTAAATATTTAGGTTACAATATGAGATATGTCTCCATGTTTTTTTAGCAATATCTCATTTAAAACAAACTAAAATCTAAGTATTTATAAAAAACAACAAAGATAAGTCTAATAGGCATACGAAATCAGGCGTATACCAATTAACTTGTACAGTTGTCCAAAAACTAATATATGAAAAACTGACCGTAATTTTAATACCAGAACATCGTAGATCATTTATAAACTAAAAACTTGATTCAGCTTACGCGACACATCTAATTACAGAAAATCATACATTTACATTTTACAACAACTTTTAAATATTACATTTGTAAAATAAAGGCACAAAATTAAATCTATTGGAGTGTTTAAAAATTAACAAACTTAAAAATACTGATAATATTCTCAATGATCAAAATGAAACAAATTATTCACCATTGTTAAACCTATTTTAATTAAGATACACTTCTAAGATATGCTAAATAAAGAAAATGTATAAATTTTTTTTTCTACTCCCACCTTTAAAATGCCCTTTATCGTACATGTTTCCATGACACTAAGTGAACTTTTAAATACACATAGACAAGTTGTGGCCTTACGGCGCTTTAGTCACGGGCTGAAGTTAGCAACAGGTTTTTAGTCACGGGCTGAAGTTAGTTTTAAGTTAGTTGACTGTTGTCAAATGTCATACAATCGTTAAAATAAAGTGCCTTTCTTGTAAAATAATACTAAATGTGAAAATTATTTTATTATCGCAATACAAAAATACAAAAGCATTAAATAGTTTCTCAACGCCAATATTTGAAAAGTTTATATGAACATTGTACTGACCTTTTAATTTCGCCAAAAGTAAACTGGATACTTTAAATTCGAGCTCGGACTCCACCGTGAAGAGCTCATAAAACATTTTCTTTACTTTCACTGAGAAAAACTCTTGTTAATCGATTTTCAACGAAAATATTTCAATTTATAACCTTTATAACACAGAAAAATTTGACATTTGACGGTACCTAATTAGTGTTAACACAGATTCCCCTATTGTTGTATAATCTGTGGTTTCATAGATGGCGCTCTATACAAATTTTTGATTTAAATCATTTTAAGATAATAATAAGTATTTGTCGTAGAAAAAGTATAGTTTGCACCTCGTTTATAAACTTTTCTATACACTCATTAATTTAAGAATTCGCTCGCAAGCTCGCTCGTGCCTAAATTAAATTCGTGTATAAAATGGCGTTTATCAAACTTGATACATAATATACTATTATCTACTACATTGACAAGCTGAGACTTGATGGCGTTTTGGTCACGGGCTGAAGTTAGTTGGGCATTTTAGTCATTGGCATTAAATTCTTCTTTGTTTTCGTCGTAGATAAACTATAGTGTGCAACTCGTTTTATTAACTCGTTTTTATTAAACACTTGCTCGTAAGCTTCGATATACAATTATCACCAAATAAGTTGTCATCCTTTAAGGGGATGGTAGTACACGCCAAAATAAGAAAGTTTTTCCTCTATCATTTTTGCATTAGTGCCATTTTTTTAATAATAAAATCATAAAAAAATTTATAAGTAGAAATTTTGGGCCGCCACTGGTTGTTCCTGACCTACGACAGACGCAAAATGTTCCTGCCAGGTGGGCAATAATATACATTCATTAAAAATTTACATTTGTGCTATCATTGATTACTTTCTTGATAATTGTTTTGCATACTCAGCTATGTTTAAGTAGTTTGAGTAAAACAATACTTTTTATTGTGAGGTATCTCGAGGTTTCCGTGGTTTTCCCATCGATTTTAAATTTAACTTTTAACGTCGATTGATGCTCATGTAGCTATTTTTTAAGTGTTCCACAAAATCATAATAACTGAACTGTCAGTAATCAATGATACTAACTGATTTTGAATAAGTTTAAAAGTTTGCTTGATATTACATAAATCTAAGTTTTTAATGAATGTTGCCCTGTTTTTTTTTGCTTAGATGAATAATATTATTGTTTTTAGAGGTAAAAACAATGATGGTATATAGGATAGGTCAGTAAGATCCAGTGGCTCCCTGGTTTTGTCAAAAAAATTTATTATTTTATTTATTAAAAAAAAAATACCTCCAATGCAAAAATGGTAAGGAAAACCTTTCATGTTTTGACTATCATCCCCCAAAGGATGACAATTTATTAGGTGACACCCTGTTATTATACGTCAATAAAATAAAAAAATATAAATTTTAAAAATTTTACAATTTTTGTTGTAAATGCGAAAATAAACAATTGTTCAAATCTAAATATATCAAAATGTAGGTTATAAAATTTTTCGTTAGGTTTGGGCCATTTCAGGCATGCGAACGGGACAAATCACAAAACTACTAGGTTTTAATATTTTGGTAATTTGTTATATAATATTTTGGTAATTTATTATATAATATTTTGGCATCAAAATTGTCACATTTTCTTCTTTTATTACGCTCTACATTAAATAAAAAAAAAGAAATATTTTATAAAAGTAAAGATAATTTTAATAATTGACAGGTGTCTTTTTTTTTGTCCCGCCCACACCTTTCAATTATTACAATTATCTCTACTTTTATAAAATATTTCTTGCGTTTTTTTATTTAATATATAGCCTAATAAAAGAACAATATTATTGACAATTTTGATGCCAAAATATTGTATAATAAATTATCTACAATTTTTTTTATAAAAACAGTTGTTTCTTGATTTTTTTACTATATTTTAAATGAATGATCAAAACAACCTTGGAGATAGCTTCAAATTTGCGCAATATTCTATACTTCATGAAAAAGTAAGAATTGTTTTTATCACGTGTATTTTTGTTGATAATTCCGTTTGAATAATAACAAAACCAAGCGATTTTATCAAAAAACAAAAAATTGGCTATAAGCTATTAGCAAAAAGATTCTTCGGCTGAAATTTCGAATTTTTCGTTTCGTTTTTGGTTGCCCTGAACACGATAAAAAATGTCCTAGCTCTGTTGCATTTTTTTTTAAATATTGCAAGATAGTGGTATTATTTATATTTATAACAAGTTAATTATCAACCCCACCATGAGAAAATCCTGCGCACGGCCCTGGCTTATCTACCTAAGGTTAGTTACAGTATCTTTTTAAAATTAAATTTTGTATAATTTATTTTATTTTATTTATTTATTTTAATTTTCCAAATGATGTATGTATTGAGTAATTTCACCATGGTTTGAAATATAAAAAATAATTATTAGAAGAACTATTTATCTTCTAACATAATCAAATTTAAGCTTTTTGCAACGTTTTATTCATTATTTATAATTAAATGCCAATTTATTAATTGATTATAGATTATCAAGCATATAATTTAACACAAAAATGAAAATGAATTATATTTTATTACCTTTCAGAACACCACAAAATCATGGTTTTAGTCTCTTACCTTTAATTTCTCAAACGGTATCAACAGTTTTGGATCCAAATAAATCTGTTGATATTTTATTGGGTCATCTTTAACACTAGCCAAACACAAATGGGTCACTTTCGCAGGATCCAGTTTTTTCAAAATATCGCTCAAAATATACGAGAGATCCTCTAAACAGCCGATGCTGAACTTACTTAACTTCGGCAAACAAGCCAGAAGGGCGTTTACGACGTCCAATAAATCGTTTTCGTTACTAAAAAGAGATATTTTAACTTACAACTAAAAAGTGGGAAGACGCAGCACACTCTTGCTATCTTCCCAGCCTTTAATTTAATTTGTAAAAGGAAAACCATACCTTTCTTCGATTCTCTTGATGGGAACCTCTAGTCTGCAGTGGGAAGGTTCGATGGCGATACTTTTCAGGTTGTTGTTTTCGCTTAGGGTTTGTAATAAAACGACGAACTCCCTTACGCACGCGGGCGACAAAGAGCTGATTCGGATCGTTGCATCGGACACGATGTGTCCGAATGTGTTTGTGTAGAATTGCGCTTTTAGCATTTCGTTTTGTTCGATTTTGAACGTTATTTCCGGCCACCATCTGAAAAATAACAGCAATAATATACTAAAAGTTTGGTAATAATAAGAAGATTATATTCAGGAGCTTCACTATTAATTCGAGTGGGGGGTCCATAAGAACGTCGCAGGTGTACGATGACCGAGAACGCAAAATTGAGTTCTGCGCATCTTCCCTCCTATCCTTGGCAGAGATAATAAAGGTATTTTTTTAACCTCTATTATTTTGTGCATCTGTCAAGTGTCAAAAGTGTTAAACCAATGTTTACCTTTACCAAAGTCGTAAATAATAAGATTATAATATATTTATATTTTAATATTTTATATTGTAATAAAATCTTCTTAGTAGTAAAGAGAACAGTTTGTTAAAACGGTGAGTAAATTTATGAACTAATCAGTATTACTGTCGTTGGAGCAGAAAACATAAGGGTGATTCTACAAAAGTTGGACAACTTGTCATCAGTCAACAGAGTAGGTATTTTAATATTTTTTGTAAATATTTTAGTATATTATATATTAATGTATTTTTTCAAAAACACGTTTGTAGAAAAACATAATAAATATTCAAAACATCAGTACCTTGGCGTGTCACTCCTCACTCCTGAATCAAATATTTGAGTGATTTTATTTTAAAATATATTCAATTTATCTTAAATTTTTCAATATCACTACAAACTATAAAACATTAAATAATGTATTTTTCATATTTTATCATAGATTCGAATAATAGCAACTGATAATCTTTGTACTCACTTTTACCCGTCAGTTCTGTGTCCAATGTTAAAATTCAAAATTCCTGCGAAATATTGAAGTTTAAACGTCCTCGTTTTAACTCAAGTGTTGGTAAAAAATTACCTACAGAGCCCTTTGCACGACAGTCATTTTGAAAACAATGCAAGCGGCGAAGTTGTGGTGAATGCACGTATAATTCTAGTCAAAATTTCAGTACTGTGGTGAGTAGTTATTTTCTTACGTATATATGAGTACATTAGATGCACAACTCTGTATTTGCAGGATAAGTGATTTTAAGAAAAACACGAAAAACCGCTCATAAGGTCATATTTGAAAAAAAAATACAAAAATCGTATAGACGTGCTTTTGCATCATTTCTTATTCAAAAAAGTAAAAAAAGTCCTTTAAAATTAAGTAGTTTAGTAAATAATTGAAATCAAAAGATTTAAAAACATAGTTTTGCATCTTTCTCGTTCAAAGACCAAGTTTTGCAAGTGAAAAGTGCAAATACCAAAAAAATAACAATTAATCAGGTGATTGTTATGCCGTCAGTTAATGCGTATACTAGCGACGTGATTGGTGACCGAGTTTTGCATCCGACAGGAAGAAACAAATACCCAGTTTTGCAGCTGAGGTAAGTATGTAAATGTATTTTATTCTACAAATATTAACTTATGCATCTGGTTTACTTAGGTATGCTGTGGGCAGTGCAGTTATGAACATAAATAAGATAAAATATATATTTTTTAAAAATGTGCAAAAACCGAGTTTTGCATCTATAGATTATAATGTACTCATATATTTTATTGTAATTTATATAAGGCTATATGTGATTTGTTGATAAGTAGCATCCACTAATAAAAAATATCAGTAAAATACTTAATTCCGAATTATAATCTCAAATTTGTATCCCATTCATCAGTACCGTGTCGTCAGTTCCATGTTCGATGTTTCGGTTATCTTTTTTTCGCAAACTTCAATTTAAATTCTGCTTGCGCAGAACTTGTTTATTTAATGTCATTATAAACTCATATAAATTTGGTGTGGGTCCCATATCTAATAATTAATATATCGGTATACTCAAAATCCACCAGCCGCCACTGATGTGTGGTATTATTTAATTTTAAGATATTTAATGTATAATATGCTCAAAGTTGCAATAAATCTTATATTTTCCAATAAATTATGTATTTAATTAGTACCCTGGTATACTCGTCACTTCCCTTGCATTCAATTTTAGAACAGATATTTCAGAAACTGTTTGAAAAAGTGACTGGCCGGGTCTGGAACAGTATATTTATTATATTATCTATGTTCTCATAACAAAATACTGTTTAATTTTATCCGAAAACTATATAAACAAAATGAGGTCAAAAGTTGCCCAACTTTTGTAGAACCACCCATAAATATAAATGATTCACGTATAAAATGACTGCATTTAAACTTACTGATGGTATTTCAAATAACTGATGTGCAGATTTTTCATTCCTTGACAACATAGCACAAACATCCCAGGGATTTTCTCAAATAATAATTTGAAATTTAAATGAAACCAAAAGTGTTTGTCAATCAACCTTCTTTATCTCATAGATTATGTCTTTATTTTTGTTGTCAATCTTCCAACCAATGCATGCACGTGCACTCATGAGTCGACGGTCTATGCGCGGTTGATTAATAATCATTTGTGCGCATTGTACACTTCCCCTCCTTTATCTAAGCTAATTTAGTTAACCGGTTAAATTAGCTAAGCTGATCAGTTAGCTAGCTAAATAACTTAGCTAACTCTTTTAGCCAGCTTAACCGGCTAAATTGTACAGCCCTAATAAAAACACAATGGCGGGGAAAACAAAAAATCTTATGCAGAATGGCAATTAAAAAATCCATAACTAAACTGAACTGTATACATTATGTATAGTAATTTTTGTGAATTTTAAATTTTTGGTAGATATAACTATGTATAGGTAATTAGTTTATACACTAATTAGGTATACCGACTATTAGTTATATAGTTAGTCGGCGACTAACTATATAACCTTCAGGCAGAATGACAAACTTTAACCTTTTGTGTAAAATACATTTTTTTTACTCAATAAATATTATTACTATAATATTATTTTAAACACATTAAAATACTTGTTAAAAATTGGATTTTATTTTATAAAAATTTGTAATTTACAAAACAAAAATACATAGCAGTTATGGATGCAGTACAAAACAATACCAATATTACAAATAAAAGATAAATTTTCCAATAGAAACAAGACTGGCAGCTTAGCAGTATATCAACTGTATATTCCATTAGACTGGGAAATTAAAAATAAATTAATTTGCTTTAAAAACCAAATAATACTTAAAACTAGATGTCTCTTTATTAATACCAAAGAGTTTAAGAACAAGACTTACATTTTCCCTAAACAAATTGTCTTTCAATAAATTGGTAATTGTTTAATATGTACAGCTAAACAGCAATGGTATAAATTTAAATAAATTATTTCTAGTAGGTACATTTGAAACGCGACTTAATAAATGAAAGTATTTTACTAGTTCAGCAAATGGTTGAGTAATATGCATACTTTCTTTTGTTAGTAATTTTGTTGTTTGTGTCTGTAACATTCCACTAATTTTGGTCAATTTTGTAGGCTTTTTAAATGTTTTATTTATGAAAATTAACTTTTACGTATTATTATATTTATTGTGAGCAATAGACGACCTTCACATATTTAAACTATTGCATTAAATTGAATTAAAATTTTTCATAAAAATTAGATTTATTACGAGATATTGGCAGGTAACCATAAAAATACTACTTTAGAACAAAAAACGTTGTTTTGATCTATTTTTATTTAAGTACCTACGTTATAATAAACTAAAATTAGATATTATATGTGTAAACAATGCTCTAAATTAAAAATATCTTTATTTAGTTAGCAATGCAAAAATAAATAAACAAAGAATTATTGATATTTACTTATATGATTGTGCAAAATTTACACAATAATAACAATATTTTTCCACTTATTGTTTTGAAACGTTTTAAATCTAATAGGTAGTCCAATAAATTATAATTAGGTACATACAAAAGTCATCTTTTAGTTCCACTCTTACTCCCTTAAAGTCCTAGAAGCCACTTTAATGGCATGTGCAGGTTAGGGATAAAAACAGTCCCCTCTGAATTCCATCAAAAACCATTTTATTTAGCAATTAAAACAAAATAATTTTATTTAACAATTAAAATATAATTATTTTGTAGCTCTGACTAGAGACCCATCATAAACATGTTTAAAAGGTATTTAGCTCTGACCCCTACATTACCAAAGGCGATTAGGTCTACAATTATAATTAAATAGGTCTACAAAAATTACAACTTTCTATTGTTGAAATCAGACTATGTACTAACAAAGGTTTTTGATTATCAAAAACCTTCATAAAGGTAGGTACTATGCTCCACAATTTAAAGTCCCACCACATGACTTTAACATAACTTTAAAAATAATTAATTTTGTTCTATTTTCTACTTTACATGATGTAACTTGCATCACAAAACGCAGACTATCCCTAAACATGGTTAAAAATAAAATATCCCAAAATTACCAAAAGCAGTTATAATTTCAAGGTAACAACTGTACCATTATTGATCATTTAAAAATAGAAATCAGCTGATTGTCATAAAGTGTAAATAAAAATACGGGACTTACTTTGGATGAAATATATTGTGTCGCCAATTTTTGCACACTGTGGACGCGTTTTTTCTGTCTTCCTTGCTTAATAAATCAAAAATATCGTGCATTACCACAGCTGGTAAATGGTCCCAGCAAGGAATGTATATGTCTTTGCCATTTTCTGATGGTTTCGCCTTTTTTGCCTTTGAACAGCCACCGAAGTTCACGGTATTATCGGTACCCATGTCTGCAATTAAAAAAAATATTTTTAACACTACCTATATTTTTATATTTATATTTCTATTTATAGGTTTATAGTACATGTACAACTGGGGTATATTGTAATTAATAATTTGGTTTTGTCAATAATTAAGCTTAAGTTAACGTTTTTTAAATAATTATATCCAACTTAATTTGCAGGTGTCAACTTTAACTAGAAATATCTTTCTTAATTAAAGCTAAAATTTAGCCTAAATAGCTCTACTTAACTGTCTAAAGCTAAACATGTTAATTTAAGCTGTAACAAACTGTTTTAAAAGTGTCAAGTTATCTAGGATAAAAATTTACAAAAAGTAGGGTTTTACTGCAGATATATTGATATGTTAACTAAAAAAGTATATACAAAAGTGCTCTTTTAGTTTCACCCTTACTTCCTATGAAGTCCCAGAAGCAAACTGAATGGCTTGAGCAGGTTAAGGGTAGGGTAGTTTATCTCTGGTAGAAACGGACCTACCTTTAAATTTAAATGCATATTGTCTTTATAGGTATAATGATAAAGACTGTAAATTTACGCTAGATAAGCTAAGCTATATTCTAATTCTAATAAGAATTAAAGTTATGTATTACTATGCAGGTACTACTACTTTTTTTAGACTCCGAAATGACAGTAACTTTTTTGATCTGTGATGACAGTTTTGTCAACATTGGTCTATATCTTAACGAAAAAAAATTACTAATTTTGGCAAAAATAATATTAATATTTTATTATACCATTACAGCTACTACTGCGTTTCATTTTATTGATGTGATAAAATCCAATCACTGCGAATTTTTTCTTTCTCTTTAACAAAACTTATAATGAATATCCTATTGATGCAAAAATAATAATGCCAAAAAACTGTAACCTGTTATTTTTTTTTCGAATAATGACAAATGAAAGTTTTTCATGAAGGACATTTTCTTTCTTTGTAAATGGCATTTTAACACTACACAACATTTAAACTAATAAAAACGTTTATTCTTACCTGATTCACATTTGCGATTTTCGTATAACATTAGAATTGTCGTCGTAATGCAAAGAAGAAATAACTACATATGTTTCCTTGACAGTTCAAACGCAAGTGCGAAAAATCACAAAAACACAACTGACAGGTAGATGCACAAACTTGGCAACAAAGCAAAAATCATTGCCATATTCTTACAAACACACCCACTTTTGCACCATACCCACCACAAATCCTTAAACAAACTTACAGAAAAACATAATAATACAATTTTTTAAACTAGTTGACCAGCACAAACACAAAAATTAAACGTTTTTTGATAATTTAATACTTTCTTTGTTCCCTTGTGAATCTGGCAACAATGCTTAAATTTGCGCATGCTCTTGTGGCAGAATGAGTTGAAGTTTTGTATCTGTCATAAAAGCGCTAACCTAAAATCTTCGTTACAAAGCATTTCTTGTTTTTCGCGAAAATAACGCAAAATGGAGTGTTTAATTGGGATTCAATTTAAAGATTATGTTCTTATTGCTGCCGATAAAACCAACGCTCATAGCATTATTGTTATGAAGACAGGTAAATTGGTGTATCAAATGTAAATGATTTCGGTCTTTATAAATGCTCTTTTTAGATGAAAACAAATTGTATAAACTGTCAAACAAGTTGGTTATGGCTGTATCTGGCGAATCTGGTGATACCACTCAGTTTGCCGAGTATATTTCCAAAAATATTCAGCTTTATAAAATGAGAAATACTTATGAGTTGAGTCCACTTGAAGCTGCTAACTTTACAAGGAGAAATCTTGCAGATGCTTTACGTAGTAGAGTAAGAAGTAAAGATTGGTATTGTTTATTTTTTATTAAATTGGTGATTTTTAGTCCCCATATCATGTAAATCTACTTTTGGCTGGTTACGATGAAATCCGGGGCCCCCAGCTATACTACATGGATTATTTGGCATCCATGGCTAAAGTAAAGTATGCTGCTCATGGTTATGGTGGTTATTTCTCACTTTCCATCATGGACCGTAATTATTTAGAAAATCTGTCTTTGGAACAGGGTTACGATGTTATGAAGAAATGTGTACAAGAAGTACACAAAAGGCTTGCAATTAACTTGCCAAACTTTAAGGTGCAAGTTATTGATAAGAATGGTATAAGGGATTTGGAAGATATTACAATGGAGAGTTTGAAAGCTTGATTTTTTTATGTAATGTAAGGTTTTACTAAGTTAAATACAAATATTTCTTAATACTCATTTTGTATTTTTTACCACATTTCAGTATTGACACATTTATATAAACAAAATACTGGATAATTTTTTATTAGAAACATAACTTAAACTAAAAACAACCAATTGCACAAGGTACACAAAAAGTTTTTACCAATATAAAGTGGCAAAAAATGGGAATATAAAATTTAATACATATAAAGTTTTACAAATGCAAGTCAGATTTGTGCTCTTTTTTTTAATAAATGGAAGATTTTTTAAAAAAATAACAACTATAAAATATAAATAATATATCTTAATTTTTATAAAAATGCCTATTTGACTTTTTTGGTTTCTTTTGCTTGTTTTTCATCTTTCTTTTTTTCATCAGCCTTTTCATCTGGACTATCTTCATATCTAAAAAGACAAAATAATTATTAATTAAAAAAATAATAAGAAATAAATTGGCAAAACATTTAAAAATTATCTCAGAAAAACAAAAAGTATAAGTTTCAGTGCTACAGAGTGTCCCAAAAATGGTGCACCAACAGGATATAATAAATAATATTATTTTATAAATATAAGAAAAATTTAAATTCTATTATTTTATATTATATTTTATGTATGTATATATTTAATATTGGACATGGATTAAAAATATAATAAAATATTATTTTGTTATTGGACCATTTTATTTTTTATTCAGGAATTATTCTTATTTTATAACTCTAAAGTGATAGTTTAAATTAGATAAAAAATATCATATAAGAATTTTTATTCTGCAAATTAAAACTACCAATGTAGTAAATATTTAAAAATTTAATTTAATTTTTATGTCAACTGATATTTTTAATTTAGTGAATTTAAAATATTTGTTTCTTATATTTGTATTTTTTAGTTTTTTGTATTTTGAATTTTTTAGTTAAACACATATTTTTAATTTGCTAAATTAAAAATATCATAGAATTTTAAATTTAAATTAAAAATACATATCTGTTGGCATAATTATTTAAGTTTGGCATAAAAATTAGATCTAATTTTAAAAATATATGTATAAATAAAAAATATCACATGAATATTTTTATTTTAATGAATTTAAAATATTTGTTTCTTATATTTTTATTTTTTATTAAACACATATTTTTAATTTGATAAACTAAACATATCATAGTAGATATTTTTAATTCGATTTAATTTTTATTTTATTAAATAAGCAGATATTCCATCCAAGGACAGTGCACGTTATTTTGTTGTTGGAGGGGTCGGTTTTTGTGGCGTTTGGAATAACAGGGGTATCCAAACTCTCAATCGGTCGGAATTAAAATTATCACATTCAATTAAAAATATCTGCTTATTTAATAAAATAAAAATGAAATCGAAATAAATTTATCTCCTATGATATTTTAATACATTAAAAAAAAAATTAATTTAGCGAATTAAATAAGGAAATATTTTAAATTAATGAATTAAATAAAAAATATCAGTTTGGCATAACATTTAAATCTAATTTTTAATTAAGTGAATTAAAAATATGGGATTAACAAAAAAATACAAATATAAGAAAGATATTTTAAATTCACTAAATTAAATTATTAGTTTAGTATAAAAATTAAATCTAATTTTAAAATACATACTATGTACAGGGTGTCCCAATTGGTTGTCCGTATAGGCTATCTCAGTAAATATAAATGCTAGAAAAAATTCGACCACGCATCCCCGTCGTCTTTTTTAAAGATACATCGGATGATGTCTTTGAATTTTCTCGATTCGCATTTGTTTAGGAGATACACCTATTTTTTCAATTTTTGCCAATTTTGACAAATGCTTGTAGCTTCGTTAATATTTGAGTTAAGAATACAGGTTTAAAATATTATGTAGGCACTTTTTATTACAGAATTCATTAGTGTAGACAGATTTTTTTTAGCTCTTTTAGGTTAAGAGATATGATCCTATACGGACAACCAATTTGGGACACCCTGTACATAAGTGTAAGTGTAAAAAAATACCTACTAAGTAGTAACTATGATATAGTTAATTCGCAGAATAAAAAAAAATTGTTTACGTTTTTAATTAATATCTTTTGAAAGTCTATATAAACCTTTCTATTTTTACAGGGTGTTATGTAATTAATGCAATATATTAAAATACTGAATACCTTTTGACATAAGAAAAAATATTTTCCCAAAGATAAAGGAAAAATATGCATTAGATTTTTATATTTGTTAGCGATTCGCCACTGGTTACACACTTGTGTTCTGTGAGTACATAGACAACATGTCTCTGACATAGATACCAACCAACAAAGTATCTGCGCGTTGCCAGCTGTAAAAAATTATTGCTAAAAATTTGTCTTGCAGAAAATAAATAAAAACTCAATAAATAGAAAAGTTTTATGCCCTTAAAGCTCTAATACCTTTTTGTATATATTTACTTATCCAGCTATTAGCTTAAGCAATGATTACAAAATTTAGTACCTATTTTAAAAACTTCATAACCACTAAAGGCGCATTCATGCTCACTAAAATAAGAAATAAGATAAAAAGTTAAAACTGTGTAAAGTAATGGTTGCGTTCATGCTCATGAAAATAAGGAATAAGAATAAAGATTAACAAATTTTAACTTTGGTTCTTATTCTTGCGTATAAAACTGCGCAAAGGACCAAAATAGGTCTGTGAATTCTTTGATGGGTTTTATGTGCTGGCCATGGAGCCATGGTGTTGGAAATCGTGTTGAGTGTCGCTGTCGATTGTTTACGTTTATAGCCAATATAATCCACTATAATAAAATATAATTGTGTGACAACATTTTTTATTTCTCATGTTATCAGCATGAACGATCAATCGCGATCTTATTTCTTATTCCTTATTTCTTAATTTTTTCATCGGTTTTTTTCTTTCTGTTTCTCAGATGAAATTAGGACAGGTTAAACTTTAAACATTCAATTTGTGTAAATAAATCTAAAAGCACTTCCCTTAGTTAAGATATTTACAATTTGAGCACATAACCTAAAATTTGAAAGAAATGCACTAGATTCTGTAATAAAAATTGCCAGATTTGGTTTGAATTTACCTTCATTACAAAAATGACATAATAAACAATTAATAAAAACGCCAAATTAACAATTTGCATTGTTGATTTTGTCATTTTTGTAATTAAGCTAAATTTAAACAAAATTTTTTTGACAGAATCTAGACACGCTGGTTGTTACCAAGTTGGTAATACCAACCATAACATAATAAATTAAATTAGGCAACCAGATTAGCCCAGAGTTTCTAGGCGATCAGTAGCGTACTTTTTGGTAGGATAAAGGTTATTATAAATTATTTTTACTCTTTAGAATTTAGAAAAAAAAGTTTCAGGTGCTTCTTTATGGACCCTAAGAAACTACCCATTTTAATGTATTACATTTATTACATGACACCCTGTATTAATATATTGTGAATATAACTTAAAAACAATTTAAATTACATTTATACTTACTTAAATAGAGCAGTCAGATCTCCCTTGACCATTGCCAAAAGCAACGGCGTGCCAATACATGCCGGTACCAAATACAGCAGGGCAGGTTGGGCATGTTTGAACACGTGCATGACGAAAATGGTCGCCATCAAGCCGAAGAAGTAGGCGATGCAAGCGGCGTGGAAGTAAGTCTTAGTTTTACGCTTAAGACTGTGATCGAATCTGAGCAGAAGAGCGATGAAAATACCAGGTATCACGATGTCGCCTAGACCCAACATGGCAAAGTTGTTGGCTGCTAGCCCGTTTTGGAGGAGGTCTTGGGGAAAAACAACTAAAAAAAAAGATTTTTAAAGCTATACTTCTTTGGCGCGTTAAGAGCAGTGCTACTAATCAAACAAGAAAATCCTACTAAATCGGCCAAACAGAACCACAACTAGGATTTTTTACACAAAAATAAATCAGACAATAAATAGACCTAATACTTTAAATAAAAAAATAATTATAAAAATTGTATTAAAAAGCTTTATTTCTCAAAATTAGCGTAGGTACTCAGAACGTCACTTTGTTCTCAGATGTTGTTGATATTACTATGCTCCACACAAGTCCCACCACAAGACTTTGATAGAAATAATTAAGGTTAATTTTCTGTCAGTGTCAAGCTAATTTCGTCTTATTTTCTAAAAATAATACAATATATGTATTTTTGGGTTCCAACCCTATTAAAAATGCCCTATAGAACCCATATTGATCCAGATAAGGAAACTAATATGGATTTATATGGTTCTATATGTCCTATATGGAACGACCTGGTTTACACTTTGTAATCTATATGGTTTAATATGGAATTCCATTTTAAAATGTACAACTTAGGGATTTTTATATGGATTTATCTGGTTTCTGTTTTATGTGTCTTTCCATATAGGTTTCCCTATATGGTTGAATATGGAATTCCATTTTAAAATGTATATATATTTAAACGAAAATTGCATATTAAAACATATAGATTCCCCTATATGGTTAAATATGGATCTATATGGTAATAATTTTTTTCACACCCAAACCATATTGGGCCAGATAGAGCAATATGAACCTATATGGCAATCCATATAGAAATCACTTTTCTATATGGTTTTCCAGGTATGGAATTCTATCTGGTTCAATAGTGCAATGCCTGTTTCAAATTCCTATATTGAACCAGATAGAACCATATAGATTTTTATTTTGTGTTTCTATATGGCATTTTTAATAGGGAAATTAAGACATGAATCAAGGACAATTGAATTGGTGAGATCAAGAACAGTACAAGTCCAAATTTATATTGTTTACAAGTTATTTTATAAAATATTTTTTTTTAGTTTCCCTAGTAGCAATGGAATTGGACAAGATTCTTTGTCAAGATACTTGGAGAAGCACTTTGTAAAGAATTGGACAATTCTTGACCAAGACTCTTGATCAAAATTCTTTATCCAGACTGGTGGCAGACTTGGACAAGTCTGTGACCAGAATTTGACCAGATTCTTGGCCAAGAATTTTTACACGATTACACGTTAAATAGGAACTTTCAATTCAAGATTTTTGGTCAATAAAAAATTTTGTTGAACTTCAAAAGTTAAGAATGTTACTAAAACATTAATTTTCCACGATTTCTTTCCAGTAAATTCGGTTTTTATCCATAAATCTGGTAAACAATAGAATTAAAAACGAAACAAATTTTGAAAGATATAAAGTTTTTAATTTTCTATGTTAAAAAAAAACCAGGTGCCCGTAAAAATAAACAAGTATTTTATAATCTTTCATGTTCATAAAGAAAAAACTCTAGTTATGCGTCAGAGCTGACGCATACATTATTGTGAATGATACTACTGTAGAATGAGAACCTCTACTCTATAGGATAGTCCCAAAGTTTAGCAATAGATGGCCTTAGATTTCTGGTCAAATTCTTGTCAAATTCCGGCCACAGTCTGGCTCATATCTTGCCCAATAATCTTGGCCAAGAATCTGGAACAATTCTTGTACAATTATTGAGCAAAAATCTGTCCAAAGTATTTTGACCCATCCTGGGACAAGACTTTTCCGGAATTGCTACTAGGGTTAATATGCATTTTTTTGAGAATATTTTACTATTTTATAAAATATAAGAACCATATTTTGTACAATAATTCTTACAAAAATGCATTTTAAACTATAAAAATAATTTTATAAAATAATTTGTCAAAATTTTGATCTTGTACTGTTTTTGAATTCACCGATTTAATTGTTTATCCTAGGTTGTAATAAGATATATTTTTGGTAACATTTTATCAGATAAGGATGCTCATTTATGACATAAATGATAATAAATGCCCGAAAAGCCCTAGACCGCTTTTAAAAATGCTCGAGCAATTTAAAAATTGCTCGATATTTGACAAATTGGAATTTTCAGAAAAATTGACTTTTACATTAATTCTCGTATTATCCGATCTACGGATTTACGGATAATAAGCAAAAATCAATTTTGCTGCAAATTTACAAATTGTTCCATTCAAATTACTAGCAGTTTTTTAAAGACTTGAAAAAAACTTTTATATTAAAAAAAGTTATAATCGCCCTTACAAAAAAAATAAAGCATTCAAAATAACATACAAAATGGTTCTTTTATTAAAATGTGTTTTAAAATTTTCCAAAGAAATTCAAATTCTTCCAAAGACAATTTTTCCAAGGCCTGGCAAAAACGGAATTTTTTCCCAATTTTCTCAGATTTTATTTTCGATAATTTAAAACGCTAATTATAACATAACCTGGTAATTTAAAAATGCTAATAAATCGTTGAAAAGTGCTTAAAAGTCCTTAAAAGGGCTTGAGCGATTTTAAAAAGTACTCAATATTTGCATTTCCTGCCATAACCAGCAGGATTATAACATAACCAACAAATGAGTTCTTTGAATTTGAAAAATCACATTATTTTTACCTTGGAAACAAATAAGCAAATTTTTTTGCCTTTCACATTAATAGGTACTTACGTTTGATTGGTGCTTCAAAGCTTTTGGCCACAGTGACCATAACATCAGTGCCAAACACCCAGAAAACATCGTAGAAGAACAGACCACACAGCAAAATACACCCAGTAACCACATTATTTAGGTGCAATAATTCTACAGCGTTTATGGCAAAAGCCAAACCAAACAGGTTGTTGGCTACCCAGTGCTTGCCAAGCAAGTACCAAGCACCGACCAATGAGCAACAAGCCAAAGTTACTACATCGTAGGTAGAGAATCTATAATCTATAAGGAATTGAGCGGCATCACCTTCGCCTTGCTTAAAAGTGATGTGGTATGGAATGTTTGGAATAGAAGTTGGCACCAATTTACTCACTATGGGACTAAAAATAATAAAATCATTGTTAATTAAATACCAAATCTTTGGAATTGAATTAGTGATTTTAGTTATAATTATGCCCAAAAAAGGGTTTTATCAAGTTTTATCTTCAATCAGTCTATAATTGAAACTTTAATAGTCACATAAAAATGATTTAGATCAATCAGATTAAAATTTTTATGGCCTAGGTTGTAGAAATTATTTACTACTTTGGAGCAACAAAAAAAATTCAACTTCTGTAATAGCAGTTCTTTTAATTAAACTTTAAACTCAGCACAAAGGGACTCATTTCTTGGCCTAATGACAAAAATAACCAATAAATAAAACTTGTTGCTAAAAATGTTCACAGCTTTGCAAATAATATAATTTCAACAATAAATTAATTATAAACACCAAAAACTTGTGACAGCTGCCAAAAATACACGTTGGCAACATTGTAAATTGTGACAGTTGTCAAAAATATAGGTTAGAAAACTGTAAATTGTGACGTTTAAAATGTACAGTTATCTTATCATTAATGTTTGTGGTAATAATTATTATTGACGTTACTCACCTCAATACATGAGTTAAAGCTAAAACTCCCAAAAAAAAGAAATATCCAGTCAATAGGAGATTAATGTATTCCTTCGAAAACACTTTAAAGACAATATACAGTCCAAAAAGGGCGCAAGATGCGATAATAGGAAAAATAGCGGCATCTTTTTTTGTCATTTTTTCAGGTTTCTAAAATTAAAACAGCGCATTGTAAACATTCATTTAAAACTATTTGTGGTGATAAAAACTGTTTAATTCAAACAAAAAAGCAAACTTACGTTTTCCTTATGGTAGACAACAGATCTGTAGGAACCAAAAAATATGGGCAACAAAGCCATTATAATTAAACTTCCATAGGCTACTGCCATCCCTTCGGGGGTGCTGGGGGTTTTTTTCGTTGAATTTGTCGCATTTTCTGTTAAATTTTCCGTAGCTTGTGCTAAAAAGCTGTTGACCACTTCTGCCATGTTTACGAAGGACTGAAGTGAAGTTAGCGGCTGTCACGTTGCCAGTTTTCGAAAGCCACGTATTCCAAACTTACCCACGTTATTTGAATTTCAACTTGAAATTCAAATTTTCAAGAATCAAGTTCACAAATAATACTAAAATAGAAACGGTATACTATAGAAACTGCAATAAGGTGGGTCATTAGCGTGGCAGGTAGCGAACAAAATTTGTGCAGGCGTTCCCACCTTTAATCGATTTTAATTTACTTGGTACAAATGATTTTAAATTTCGTGCGCTTAAAAATAGTATGCTTTGTCTATAGCCAGCCAATAATTAAATACCATATTATAATAAAATGGTCTACTACGATACCTATATAAGTTATTATAAGGTATTATGTTCTGTGAGTAAAATAAAAGTAACAATAATGTTTTAAAAATGCTGAATGAATTATAGATTACGCTTCTTATCATGTTTAGTTTACCTTATTTTAAAATAGTTACCATTTTAAAGAAACTAAAATATATTTTTTAGTAATTTATAAGTAGGTAGGTATACCTATAGGTAGGTATATTGAAATTGTTTATTATAGGTATATCATAAGTACCTAAATCTTTTTCATACAAAAATTAAAGTATAAAATCCAATATTCTGATAATGACGCGCGTGTTTTGATATTATTTATTGGCAATCCTATAAATTAACATGGAAATCTAATTAAAAAAAAACTAATCAACAAGTTCATTAACAATATTAAATTGTTCCCGAAATCAAATAGATTAGGTGCGTGATATGATGAACAATGGAGTTGAAATAAAATAATGGGATATATTGAGTTTTTTACAAAGTACGTTTTTGGAGATTTTACGGTTCCAGATAGGGGTGATGGTAATGTTTGGAAGGATGAACCAACTCTTAAAGGTAGGTACCTAATTCTTAAAGGTGGGTACCTAATTCATACAAATGTTCTTTAAAATTAATGCTCTCTTTATAAAGAGAGCAACTAATTAGTTATTAACATTTTTAAACAGTTATTGTTTTTTTATTTAGAAATTAATTAAAAATCATGAAAATCAAAAGCAATTAAAAGTAGGTACCTATAGGTACCTATACCGAGGTAGGTACCTATAGGTACCTACTCCCAGTAAGCACACAAACGTCCCTGGGACATCCAAATTTTGTCAAAATAGACCGACGCGACCTGGCCGTTCCAGGGACAGTCAAGTAGGACCACCTTATGCTGGTCATTTACAGGACGCCTAAGGATATCCTACGGATGTCCAATAAAGTTTTATTAAAATCAAATCAAAGAGCATGACTCCCCAAAAACAATAGTATCATCCTTTTAGTTACTTTTTTATAACAACTTTATACCTTAATTTATACATAAGTATAAAAAGGTAAAAGATAAATTTAAATAATTTCAGGTAATTGTACGGTGTAGGGACCAGACTCATTAGGTTAGTTCCAACCGGCAGTAATTTTCAGTAATATTACTGACACACATGCGCATTTGTATTTCCATTATTTAAACACGCTTTAAAAAAAGTAAAAATAAAGGAAAAACATATTTAAAAATAAATTATTTTGTATTTTTTTCTCTATTTCGTTCAAATTAATTTAAAATACTTTTATAAGTCTAAAATAATATTGTGTCAGTAATATTACTGCGGTTGGAATGTACCTATTACCGTACGTAATTCCCAACATTCAAATTTTAAACAAAAAATTCAAAAATTTTCAAAATAAATTAACAAAACTTAAGTTAAAAATGTACAAAATTTATGTTAAAAATTTTTAAGTTTCATGGCGCTCACTGACCTCTGGTGGAGTCTTACTAAAGTGACCTACAATACCGACTTTTTTTAATGTAGGTATTTTATTCTTTTATGTTTTTTATGTATATTGTTGTTTCTTAAATATTTATTTATTTTATGTATATTGTTATGTTTCTTAAATATTTTTAATAAATTTAGATTTATTTATATTCATAATTTTTACAAAATATTACTACCCTTTTTATTCCAAAAAATTCGCACCCCCATTTAGTAAGTACGATCCTGCGAGCTATAGTACGGTAATTTGAATTACGCGGTACCGACTATCGAATTCAAGTTGGCAACCCTGGCGCTGCATTAATGTACCATGAGTCTCGTGGCACGTGTTAAAATCAGTTTTGTATTGTTTTGTGGTTTGGAAGTTTAGTTAACAATAGATACAACTTTAGTTTACGTGTGCCTTTTATATTTAATGAAGGTAGGTATGTATTAAATAATATATATTTCTGAGCAAATTATTGTTTTTTTCTAGTAAATTTATAATTAACAATAATGCATCTCTTCGAGGTGCCGCCCGATTAACGACAAAAAAAGCTTTCCTCTTTTTTTATTGATGCCGTTATAAATTAATATAATTTCTTTAAATTGCATAACTATAGTATAACTATTATATTTCTTATTGTAGTTTCGTGTTGTATGGTCTTCACCTGTTGCTTGTTTTAAATAACCTCACTTTATTTATTCATTTAGTTAAATAAATACCTATATAGGTGGTTATATTTATTTAAAACAATAATTTGGCATTTTAAGTTCAGAAACAATTAAATTTATTAAAAAAAAGATACACCTTGTTTCGTTTACTATATATACTATACTATATATAGGTATAATTGATATTATGTTAACCTATTCTATCAATTCCCAAATTATGTAAGGTACAATTCGGATTACCCTGAATATTTTTATTTTTTTTTATCAGAATTATAGTTTTTGTTACAAAAGATGTTAAAAATAAATAGATAATAAAAATAAATAGATTGTATTTTTTTTCTCCATGCGGATCGAATTATAACGTCCATAGAGAGGCCTAAGGTGGTCGCAGTAGGACCTAAAATGGAGGGTCTTAGGAAGTCTTTTTTACTATCCTTTGGTTGTCATCAGACATCCCAGGGACGTCCTACAGACGCTGTCGGATTTCCTGAGTCCGTCAGGTATAACCCAGGAAGACGTCCTGCGAACGTCCCTGGGAGGTTCCAGTGCTTACTGGGCTTTTAATTACCTAGGTAGCTATTAGCTAATACAAAAATCAAAAACACAAAATGTAAAATATAAAAACTTGGAAAAACTCACAAAAAAATTAATAATAATTTAAAACCCTATCATTTTGTGATAAAAAATATATTTCTATATAAAACCTGAAAAAAGTAAAATACCAAACGAAGTGCCAAAATTATCAGAGACTTAAGTCTTAATTAAGTCTAAATTATCAGAGACTTAAGTCTTAATTAAGTCTCAAATTTGTATTTCACACTAGGTATATAAAATAATTAAAATTATTCAAGACTTAAAATAAAAAACAGAAAATTAAAAAAAGGATTATTTTTTGAAATTGTGATACCTACATAATATGTATATGTATATTTTTTATTTTGGTACCTTTTTATAATTTTTGATTTTCATAATTTTCATATACATATGTAGGTACATAATATTATTATGTACCTACATATGTATACATATACCTATATAAAAATTATGAAAATCAAAAATTATAAAAAGGTACCAAAATAAAAAATAAACAAGAAAATATATAGGTACATATGTATTATATATTAATATAAAATTATGAAAAATTATACCTACCTACAAATTTATCAAAATTACAAATAAAAATATTTTTTCATTAGATATTTTTGATTTTTGATTTTTTATAAAAAATCTAAAATAATGAAAAAAGCGACAAAATTGGAAAAAAATTCTAAAAATTAAAACAAAGAATAAAAACATTAAAAATTATAAAAATCTACATGGAATTAAAAATATTTCATAATAAAATGATGAAAATTAAAATCAACATAAAAAATATAAAAAAAAATTAAATTTTTTGAAATCATATTATCTGAAAAGCATGAGAACCGAAAGTTACAAATAGTAGGTATCTACCAAAATAAGAAATAAATATTTTTTTTATAAATATTGAAAAATCCTTAAAATTAAAAAAAAAATTAAAACAAAAGATTAAAATGTTCATCCAAAAATTCATGATTGTAAATATAAATAAAATTAATTATAAAAATGGAAAATCATAATAGGTAATCCAAAATTAACAAGAAAACTATAAATAATATAAATTAAAAATTATAAATATTTCATAAAATACGCATTAAAATTATTTAAAATTTAAAATCAAGAGCAAAAAATTAAATAACATCTCAAAAATCATGCAAGTCTAGGTACAGGATATTATAAAATTATTAAGTACTAAAATTTTGGAAACTATTGGTAAATTTTAAAAATTCTTATTTTTTTTTCAAATTTTTATAATTGCATATAGATTTTCTTGATTTTTCAGATGTTTCCATTTTTATAGTTTATCCAATTTCTAATCTTTTTTTTCTTATAATTATAATATAATTATAAGAAAAAAAAGATTAGAAATTGGATAAACTATAAATAATATTATTATTAATAATCACATTATAATTATATTATTAATAATCACATTTTCAAGAATCCTTTTGTTTAACGTTCTGTTCTTGATTTTAAATTTATATAAATGTAATGATTTCGTTATAAAATATTCATAGTTTCTTTGGGACTTTTACATTTTCGTTTTTAATCTTGGTACGTATATATACGTATCATATACGAAAAAAGCTTAGAAATTGGAAAAGCTATAAAAATGGAAACATCAACATATGCAATTATAAAAATTTAAAAAAAATAAGAGTTTTCAAAATTTACCAACCAAAATTAAAAACTAAAATTATAAAAAGGTACTTAAATTATAAATACTACTTACAAAAAAATATTTTGTAAAGACTGCCACAATGACTCTTAAAACAGTTCGTGTTTAGAATATTAAACACCAAATTCTTTGATTTTATCAATATGTAAATTGTAATTGTATTTAGTTTAAGGCTACCCCTGCCCTTATTACAGACTCAATACATAGGTAAATATTATTTTTATTTGCAGGAACGATTATTTATTCCGTCATTGTTCCGATTCTTTGTGTTTTTGGAGTATTTGCGAATGCTTTGTGCCTCATGGTTTTGAGAAAAGCAAAGCTGAGCGCATCTGTTTATACTTATTTATCAGGTAGGTATCTTAAATATGCTACACTGTTCAAAATTTCATGACCATTTTAACACCAAATTAACACCATACATGGTCTATATCGATACAAACCAAAATGGTGTTAAATAAGGTTCGTTGGTCCGGTGTAAATTCAAATACTAAAATGGTGTTAATTTAACTTTCACACAGTATTAAAATAAATTTTACTTGGTGTAAATTGAACTCCTTTTCAGTGTTAAATATTATGTGTTTGTGGACAAATTAAATCATACTACACAGAAAAAAGGAAAAAAAGGAAACAGGAAGTTCCTTGACGCATTACTAGTATATTACCAGTGATATTATTCCAGAAAATGGAACCTTCAACTCGCTAGAGATAATGTTTTTAGTGCGTTGCACTAACTTAAAATACTTCAAGTATTGACAGTTGTTTCCACCTATTTAAGGTCTCTTTGGTTTCGAACAACTTGTAATGTCACACCAAACCAAAGGATTACCTGAGTTTATATATTCTTCATGTAAGTCAACAGAGGCGAGATTTAAGAACATCACGTGATCCACACCGCCTTTGCCGCGATCGGTACACATTTACAACCATAATTCATGGTGTTATATTAACACCACTTGGTGTTGGATTTTGACACCATTTTAAGATTACTTTTTACACCATGGTGTGCACAGATATTTTTAACAGTGTAGTAGTTATTTTATGGCATTAAAAAAAACAATTTTCAGCCCTTTGTACACTTAAATTTTTATTTATAATTTATATAATAATTTATATAAATTATAAATTATTAAGTAATAGTAATAGTAATAGTACTATAAATTATTATTATTTATTGTCAAATTAACTAATCATTAAAATCAACTCCAGAACGAGAGAAAACACGAGCCGGACAATAGGAGATACATAGAATCGAAAAAGTAAATTGATATATAAACCGCATACTTACATACATATATGTTAGGTATACCTAACAAACATAATCAACCGAAAGGGAAAGGGCAAACGGACACAGAAGAACAAGACGCAATGCACGTTAGGCCCCCACAGCGAAATAACTATACCCAGCCTCAAACATGACGCTCAAATGCTTTTGGCATTACCAAACGACCCGGTCTAGGGGGATTCAGCGTCGTACCTACTCTCTTAAAATGAAATAGTCAAAATTCTACTTTTTAAATTGGTACCAGCATTGTTAACTAAAAAATAGTCGTTTTTACTTTTAAGCAGTTATTTTTTATTACTTAAATAGTTAAAGTTTGACTGTTTATAAAAGTAAAAAGTAACTAATTTTTAACAATATTCTTAAAGTTATATGCATGTATATTAGAGTGTATAAAAAAAACAATTATTTTTTTCTTCTAATGGTGTTGAAAAATTAAACAAAAATGTTGGCGCCTATTTGAGTCCTTATTATTAATATTAAGGTTTGCCTCAATTCATTTGTGGTTTTTCCATTTTAATAACACGGGAATTTTTTTTTTAATTTTGAATTCTTATAACTTTGGAATGGTTTGTTTTCGCAACACCCAAGCGATAGGATTTATAGGAAATTTCACGCTCTACAAAAAACATTTGAGGGTCAATTGAAACGGTTGATCTGAAGAACTTTAAAGTTCTTCAGATCAACCGTTTCAAAGATATCAGCGATCAAAAATAACACTAATCAAAAAATATTTTCCAATAAATGTGCAAAAATATATCATATGCCATATTTGCACAGGGTGTTATGTAATTAATGTTATATATTAAAATGGGTTGTTCCTTAGGGTCCATAAAGAAGCACCTGAAACTTTGTTTTCTAAATTCCAAAGTCTAAAAATAATTTATAATAACCTTTATCCTACCAAAAAGTACGCCACTGATCGACTAGGAACTTTAGGTTAATCTGGTGGATTTATTATGTTATTGTTGGTAACAACAGTGTTTCCAAAATCTCTTAAAAAAGTTGACAAACATTGTTTAAATTTAGCTTAATTACAAAAATGACAAAATTAACAATGCAAATTGTCAATTTGGCGTTTTTATTAATTGTTGGTTATTTCATTTTTGTACTGAAGGTAAATTCAAACAAAATCTGCCAACTTTTATGACAGAATCTAGTGCATTTCTTTTAAATTTTAGGTTATGTTTTCAAATTGTAAATATCTTAACTAAGGGAACTGCTTTTGGATTTATTTACGCAAATTAAATGTTTAAAGTTTAACCTGTGAACTGGTCCCAATTTCATCTGAGTAAACAGAGAAAAAAACTGATGAAAAAATTAATTTTGTGGTCATGGATTTCAAATTTCAAAGGTACTAAATTTTCTAATCATTGCTTAAGCTAATAGCTGGATCAGTAAATAAATACAGAAGGGTATTAGAGCTTTAAGGGCATAAAACTTTTGTATTTATTGAGTTTTTATTTATTTTTTGCAAGAAAAATTTTTAGTAACAATTTTTTACATCTGGCAACGCATAGCTACTTTGTTGGTTGGTATCTATGTACTCAAAAAATACAGGTGTGCAGAGATAAACAAGTGTGTAACCAGTGGCGTATCACAAAAAATATAAAAAACTTCGAATGCATATTTTTTCTTTATCTTTGTAAAAATGTTTTTTTAAATATTTTTCCTTTATTCCTTATGTCAAAAGGTATCTAGTATTTTAATATATAACATTAATTACATAACACCCTGTATTATTAAATATGTAAAATCTGTTGTAATTCTGTTAACCTGAGACTGTAAACTTTTTTTGCTAATTAATTCAATACGTAACTCACAAAAAGCACAAATACATAAATATAAAGATTAAAAATATAATACTTGTATAAATGATTTTTGGGTCTCTTTTATTACAAATTTATTTTGTATTTTATAAAATTTATAAATTTTTGTAAAAAGAAAATGTAAAGTTCCTTATTACACTAACTAAGCAAACACTCTTCATTGTATTTTATTCAAAATAATAGAAAAATTATGTAAATATGTTAAATCAATTAAATCAACTATAACATTTAATCAATTTTTTTTTATTTGAAAAATATCGACAGAGCTTTATTTAGCAGATTGTTTGTTTTGCTAATTTTATGTACGATAAAACTAAAACAAACAAACCAACCAACCCAACCCAACACTTTTTAACAAAGGAACAACAAATTTATAAAATAAAAAAAGTTCATGGAGAAAAACAACAAATGAATTGAGGCAAACCTCAATATTAATATTAAGGGCTCAAATAGGCGCCAAAGTTTTTGTGTTTTAATCTACTATTAATTTCACACCATTGGAAAAAAATATAATTGTTTTTTTTTTAAACACCCTAATGTATATGCCCATAGGCTACATGGTTAAATGGACCATAAAAACAAACAAAGATGCAAAAAGTTTAGCTCAAAACAGCAACACAAAAAAGTTGTTTAACTTTAAAATATTATTAAAAATATTTTTAGACCGATATAACTTATTTTAAAAAAAGTATCAGTGGAGCCTCTGTTAGACATCCGCTTGACAAGCAACGGACCTGAACCCCGGCTGAATCAAAACTTTTTTTAAATTTGAAATTACTAATTTCACTATTATAATATACCGAATATTATTCGTAAGTAATATCATAAGGGCATCTAATTTTTCCGAAAAAATTAAAAAAACACGTTGCTAAGTAATATTTTAACAAGAAGCATGAGTGCTGGTGGCAACAAAAATCCGAATCGAAGAAGAGGATTTTTGCACCGGCACGAATGCATTTTGTTAAAAAATATTACTTAACATTGTGTTTTTTCTATTTTTTTCACGGGAAAATTAGATGCCCGAGTGGTATTTGACAAGGCTATTTCATGAGTAACAGTTAAAAATTAAAATATAAATTGCAATTTTTGGTGACAACAGCTGTCAAGTTTTACCGCGGGTAAACTCGAAAAACTGCTGACAGGTGCTGTCACACAGTTTTTCCACCTAGAAACCATTTGTAATTCAAAATTGCGCGTTTGTGATTAGTGGAAATTAAGACGATGGAAATTGTCGGAAGAATTTAACCAATTCGTAGTGACTGCTTTTTCGATATGAAAATTAGTCAAATATGACTTATAATTAGTCATTTTTGACTAATTCATTTTAAGAGAGTAGGTTTGGATCGGCGTTATTGTCTCCTGAAAACTATAGTTTTATAAAAGGTCTATCCCACGAGTTCCCAGCTTCTCTCTAACATTTTTTAAATTTTCTTTAAAAAATATATGAAAATCCTTCTGGATTAAAGACCCTACTGGATTGCAATCCCTAATAAAATCTAAAATATCATCATTGTGTGTTTTTTATTGTTAAATGCTCTTTTTCCAAAAACTTATATACAATTTATTAAAAAGTATAAAAATGGTATTTTTTTAACCGCCTTAACGCAATCACCCGTGTGGTTCTCACTCCCCTACTTTAACCACACGAAATGGGAACAGGTGGTGACATCTCTATGTTTATTTTCTAACAACTTTAAAACCTCGGTACGTCTAAAATCGGTTATTTTTAATCTAATAATCTCAGGAGGGACACTTTAAAAATCCAGGAAACAGTATTTTATCTATTAAACTTATTATATTATAAATTAAGCTTTATTATTGTCATCCCTCACTACCAAAGTACTTGATTATCGCCTAGGCTGTAAAAATAATTAAGATCAACCAAGTGTTTTTGAGCTTAGCACATAAAGACTTACTTTTTAGAACTATAACATAAATAACTATTATGGGTCTCCAAAACTTATCATGTCGACTAAAATACCCAACCCACACTTTGAAATAAAAATAACAATAAAAATAATCCCGACGCATTCGCCATTTTTGCAAAAGTAAATTCACCACCATTTTTCATTTCATTTCATTCAAAATTTCCCTAAAAATTCTTTCTGTAATAATACTTTTAAGAGTGTAACATTTCTTATAGGACATATAGAGGTTATATAATATCGTAAACCCTTTTAATAAATAAATAAAAAAATCGAAACGACATTCGGCCCCATTAAGCATCGTCGGGCGAAGCCTTAGCAAACATTGTAAAATTTTATTACTGTTTGCGGGAAAAGTTCAAACGGAAAATAATTAAGTTCGACGCGAGAGCGCGCTTTCCGTTTTCTGTCTTCCTAGGATATGAAAACGGCGTTTTTATTATTTTATTGGCGCAAAAAGTTCGCTTTTGCCATTTGTACGTTCGCCGGTCGAAATTCGACAGATCTGTTTAGTAAGTAAGTGGATTAACTTGTTACTGTAAATGAAAAATTCAATTTCTTTATTTATTGTTTTTACAACGTAAGTAATTTCCTTTTTATCACCTACTTTCTTAATTTAATTTGAAAGAAGGTCCTAATTATTATTTAAAAGAATATTTATTTGCCTGCATTAATGTTATCCTTTGAAAAATAACACTTGTTGACAACATTTTTTGTTTTTACAGGTTGGCAAATAACTTTTCTAGGTGCGCTATTTAAAAAATAACTGATAAAATTAAGAAAAAAACAAAAGTATACGGCTCCGAATTTATTTTATTTTAACATACAAAGCCTTAAATCTTGCTGGACTGTTTTCGATGGGCTACCCTGTATATTTTGTTAATCAAATACTTTAACCAAATATTATTGTCAATATAGCTATGGGTCCTAATTAAACTAAAAAATATATATGGGTGATTCTATAAAAGTTGGACAACTTGATGTCATCAGTCAATAGGTATTTTAGTATTTTTTGTAAATATTTTAGTATATTACAAAAGATCCAGGTTTTTTTAATTTGTCCACCCAATTTTAATGTATTTTTTCAAAAGCACGTTTTAGAAACACATAATAAATATTCAAAATATCAGTACCTTGGCGTGTCACAACTCCTGAATCAAATATTTGAGTGATTTTATTTTAAAATATATTCAATTTATCTTAAATTTTTCAATTTCACTACAAACTATAAAACAATAAATAATGTATTTTTCATATTTTATCATAGATTCGAATAATAGCAATTTTTTAAAAATTGATAATCTTTGTACTCACTTTTACCCGTCAGTTCTGTAACCAATGTTAAAATTCAAAATTCCTGCGAAATATTGAAGTTTAAACGTCGTCCTCGTTTTAACTCAAGTGTTAGCAAAAAAGTTACCTACAGAGCCCGCCCTTTGCACGACAGTCATCTTGAAAACAATGCAAGCGGCTAAGTTGTGGTGAATGCACGTATAGTTCCAGTCAAAATTTCAGTACTGTGGTGAGTAGTTATTTTCTTACGTATATATATTTCATTGTAATTTATATAAGGCTATATGTTATTTGTTGATAAGTAGCATCCACTAATAAAAAATATCAGTAAAATACTTAATTCCGAATTATAATCTCAAATTTATATCCCATTCATCAGTACCGTGTCGTCAGTTCCATGTTCGATGTTTCGGTTATCTTCTTTTCGCAAACTCTAATTTAAATTCTGCTTGCGCAGAACTTGTTTATTTAATGTCATTATAAACTCATATAAATTTGGTGTGGGTCCCATATTTAATAATTGAGATATCGGTATACCCAAAATCCATCAGCCGCCACTGATGTGTGGTATTATTTGATTTTAAGATATTTAATGTATAATATGCTCAAAGTTCCAATAAATCCTATATTTTCCAATAAATTATGTATTTAATTAGTACCCTGGTATACTCGTCACTTCCCTTGCATTCAAATTTAGAAAACACAGATATTTCAGAAACTGTTTGAAAAAGTGACTGGCCCGGTCTGGAACAGTATATTTATTATATTATCTATGTTCTCATAACAAAATACTGTTTAATTTTCTCCGAAAACTAAGTATATAAACAAAATGAGGTCAAAAGTTGCCCATCTTTTGTAGAATCACCCATATATATTCACATTCATAAAGTAAAGTAAAGTAAAGTTTTTAACAAAATAAAATAAAATTGTTTTTAGCCAAAATATGGCAAAGTTTATATTTACAATCATTTTAAATGAGAAAACTTTTTAGACATAATGTAAACTAGGTTTTTGCAAAAATGGCGCATATAATTATATAAACAAAATGAGGTCAAAAGTTGCCCATCTTTTGTAGAATCGCCCATATATATTCACATTCATAAAGTAAAGTAAAGTAAAGTTTTTAACAAAATAAAATAAAATTGTTTTTAGCCAAAATATGGCAAAGTTTATATTTACAATCATTTTAAATGAGAAAACTTTTTAGACAGAATGTAAACTAGGTTTTTGCAAAAATGGCGCATGCGCCGGGATGAAAACAGTTCTTAGGGATTTTATTTTTAGTTCTAGCTTTGGTGGATCTCATGGGTTCAATACTTCTGCTTTTGGCAGGCCTGTCTAATGGTGCCCTATGGTACGAAGGTTGGGGATACTGGGACGCCCTTGTAGGTGTTCCGCTACAAGGAACTGTCAATTGTTTGGGGGTTTGTGCTGTTATATTTGTTATGATAGGTTCATATTTTTTGAAAGTTATAATTGAATTATAAAATTTACGTGTGTTTCTGTTTTAGATCGTGTTACTTATCTTTGGGACAGTCACAGCTGTGCTAAGCCCCCATTTTGTGACCCTCTGGTAGCACGAAAAGTAATGGGAATCTGTTTTTTCGTTTCTGTATTGGTTAATGTGCCGTATTGCTTTATTTTTCGGGCGGATAGAGAGGGTCATCTTGTTAATACACCATTTTTTGATTCCAGGTAGGTACAAAATAAAAAAATAAATATGGGAAAGTAAATAATAAATTTGAAAATTTTTGTCACATTTTTTGTATATCTCCGGTGCAATGTGAAGTGGACGCAAGAAAAAATAATTCTTTCTTGTTTAAAAGAAAATATAACCTCTTTTCATTTAAAAAGTATTGCTATAGCATTATACATCCCAATAAACAATTTGTACTACTTATGGTAACGATAAATTATATAAAGGTTATATAAAAGTTGTAAAATCGCCATTTAGTTTACTAGTTTTATAATGATATAAGGTTACTGTAAACTCTAGGTATATAATTAGGTTATATAATTGTTTCTACAAACTTTTTATATAAACTTTAGTAACCGTTACCAGTAGGCTTATAAAGAAGTTTTATAAAGTTTGCGGTTACCTGTTTTATAAAACTATTGTGTTATTAAATATTTATTTGCCTAATAAACCAAAAATATTTAGTAATTCAAACATAAATTAAGGATAGTATTAGATTTCGACGCAATGCTTTTTCATAATTTTAATTAAAAATTGGTTGAAAAGAAAATATTTAGCATAGAATATGTAAGTAATATAATATTATTAACATAAATATTTTAAAAGTGGAATAAATCGAATGTTTAGTGAAATAATTTGATTCCATTGCGTTAACACCATTATTACTGCAAGCAAAAATGGCGAACCTGACAACACTAACCTGAGCGGTTAGATGGATGCCTATCAAAAGTTTTATAACATCACTTGTAGTAACGACAGTTACTACAATGTATATAAGAGTTTCAAAATTATATAATAACACTTTAAGTAACTTAGATACTCCTATAAAACTGATAGAACCTTAGGTTATATAAAATTACCATGAGCAATATAAGAGGGCTCAAGTTGATACATTATTTTCGCCATGATTGCGTGTCGTCTTCTTGAGTATTGAATTTGAAAAAAAAGTTCAGTAAATATGTAAATTAATGTATAAAGTATATTTGCATTGTATGTTGTATATTTGTAAGACTATAATTATCTTATAACTTATAAGATAATTATAGTCTTATAAGTTATAAGATAATGTTGCTTTATCACTGTGATAGATATATTGTAATTATTAGATGTTTAGAGTTTGTGCCTCTATAAACAATCTATGTTTCTTGGGATCAATAAAATATTTGTTTTATTATTATTATTATTATTGTTTTTTACATAAATGAAATGTTATTCGACTTTACAAAACAACTTTATTGATCAAATCAAGCAAAAGAAAGATATTGATGTATTAAAAAAATATTTTCATATATTTTTAATAGTATAAAATTTTTTTATGTTTTGGTATTTTGATATCCCCTGCTGTTTTTTGAAGTATTGTGTACATATTTACAATAAAAATTACTTTGCACTTTAAGTCGTATTAAGTAAAAAATCTTAGATTTAAATTAATATTTTCGCCATACTTGGCTTCTCAAAATATTCACGTGGTTTAAACAAGTTAATGAATAAGATGACAATAAGAAAGATAGCGTACAAGTATACGTCTATGAAGGAATATATATTTTAAATGTGCCTGAGGGAGAGAGAAATATTAAAAGAAGGAAAAAAGCCGGTAGAAGTTCTTTAGGAAGTGGTTTCCATAATATTCCTGTTATTAAAACATGGGTTTTATAGTGTTACTAAAATAGGTACCGATAACCTTCATAAACTCCCCAAATAAGCTCTTTAAGAGTGATATAAATATTTCTGTAACCAAATTAAGAAATTTAGGTTTTATAATTTGGATGATATAACATTTATGGAAATGGTTACTAAAAATCCAGTAAATTGGGGACGGCTTAAATATTTTAGGAGTGAGCGCTTTTGTGTAGGAATGATTTCCAAACTTAAATATTTATCATACGTGGAAAGTAGTAATTATAAAACTAAATTCCCTAAAAAAGGGTGACGTCCTTTATGGACGACCCCTTAAACTAAGAGGGATTTTACATATAAAATATAAATATTTCGCAGGATAACAAAAAATGTATAAAATTTTTGATATGGTTTTTTTGATTATCACAAGCCTCCGTGGCGCAATTGGCTAGCGCGTTCGGCTGTTAACCGAAAGGTTGGTGGTTCGAGCCCACCCGGGGGCGCAATTTTTTAATTTTCTGAATTTCCCGAAAATGAGGCACCAATGCCATATTATGCCATATTTCTATATAAAATTACTTAAATTATTTTTTTTCTGTTCAGTTATTAAGCATTTACACCGACAAACTGATGGTTGCTATGGAAATAAGGCAGCTTAAGCACATAATTATACAGGGTGCACCTGAAGCTTCTATGTGTACAGGGTGATCCCCTATAATGTCGCCGCCCTTTAACTTTTTTATTTTAATTGTCCCAGAAAATTTAAAAGTGTGGTTATGTAAGTACTAAAAAATACTTTTTTCTATGTATAAAAAAAAATTGAAAATTGATCAATATACAGGGAAAACAAAAGGTTTATTTTTTTCAATGGATCACCTTATATATGAATTAATTTTCGATTACTTGTAAAATTCTGAGCATAATTCATATAACAAACCATATACCTATATTCAACCGTTTCTGAAACATTCGCATTCGAAATGTTATCATTAAATGTTTTTTAAAACTGTTAAAAATCAGGAAGCCTCAGTATAGCAACATTTTTATTGAAAATAAATTACTATAGTGACATTATGTCAATATGTCTTGTTAAATAAGTAAAAATGGCGTACTCAGACAGAGAAAGCCAAACTTTTTCAACTTAAATATTTCAGAAACGGTTGAATTTAGGTATATGGTATGTTATATGAAATATGCTTAGAATTTTACAAGGAATCGAAAAATAAATATACAGGGTGATTCACCTAACTGATCCATTAGGGGTTTATAAAGAACTAAAAGAGACATCAATCTGAAATTTTGGTGCGATGGGATCTATTTTTCTAAAATATTTTTAATGCGCTGTCACTTCCGGTTTAAACGAAAGTGACATTAACTTTGTTTTTTCAAATGGAACCGTATAAATATTATTGCATTTTAGAATTCTACGTAAAATTCTGGAGCAGTTGCATTTTGAATCGTTTTCCTATCTTCATTTGTTTTTGAGATATTTTTTTTTTTTTTAAATTTGACACTTGGAGTGACTGACTAAAATGTCTGTATTACCAACAATTGTAATGTTAAAAAGTTCATTTTTAGTATACACGTTAACAAAGACGTATCCTATCAGGAGCCATTACTAGTATTCCAAAATGTTATACAGGGTGTTTAGTATTTACTTTTACTTTTTTGCAATTTTAAATGCCAATAACTTTCTTATTTCAAAATTAAATTTTTTGCGACGCCCCCTTAAATGCTTTGTTTTGATTTAAAAACACTGTGAATTTTTTTTTAATTGAAAACAACACGTGCCTCAAGACGATCTAAGTTAATTTTTTGGTATAAACATATCTTTTCTGAAAATATGGAATAATAATTTTTTTGAGATTTAAAAATTATTAACAATGAAATAACTTGATAATTATATTGAAATTACGTTTGTACTTATTTAGTTTTAAAATTAAAATCAATTTGAATATCTTTCATTTTTTTGTTTAAAAGACCAAATCAACTGGGAAAAATTTTAAATTTTTGTCTATTGTTATTTTTATTAACCATTGTTTTTTTTATTGATTTGGGTTCTATAATTGTTTATATTTCGAATAAAATTTTATTTCTCATAAAAAATTACCAAAAAAACATGATTATACCAAAAAATTAACTTAGATCGTCTTGAGGCACGTGTTGATTTTAATTAAAAAATAAAAAAAAATCCCAGTGTTTTTTCATCAAAAAGAAGCTTTTTATGGGGCGTCGCAAAAAAATTAATTTTTAACGACCACCCTAATACAGGGTGTCCTGAAATTAGTGCACCATACTTTAACAGCAGATTCTACGTGCAAAAATAAGAAAAAAGTCCCTATAAACATAGGTCAAGAAATGCCTCTTAAGGGAGCTACAGCCCCCAAAAGGAAAGCCCCTGAAGATGGTTTTTATTTAATATCTCCAAAACCGTTAAAGATAGAAAAGTGAAATTTAGGGAATTAATTAAACTTTTTATGACCAATAAGACAATATCAATTTAAAAAATTTCATGAGGTTTGGGTCAGATTGATAGGAAGTGGGGTTAAAACCACCTTAACTTTTTTGTACGTATCTTGTACTAGAATTTGATGTCAGATTATGAAATTTTGGAGTTTTGCACATAAAAAAGGTCATCTTGTTGAACTTCGTTAACATACACCGTTTTCGCTTAAAATCGATTTGAAAATTATTTTACATGGCATAAAAATTCACAATTAAATCACAACCATAGAAATGGACTCGCGTGGTCCTTGGAATACGACTGCCATGTTTAGGAAAAAATAGAATAATTCAAGACAGGTGACAGTTTCATGTAGTAAGTGACAGGGTGTTTCTACTTTTTTATAAATATTAGATAAAAACCATATTCAGGGGCTCCCTTTTCGGGGGCTGTAGCTCCCTTAGGAGGCATTTCTCGATCTATATTTATAGGGACTTTTTTTCTTATTTTTGCACGTGGAATCTGCTTTTAAAGTATGGTGCACTAATTTCGGAACACCCTGTATATAGGGTGATCCATTGAAAAAAATAAACTTTTTGTATACTGATCAATTTTCCAATTTTCTTTTTACGTAGAAAAAAAGTATGTTTTAGTACCTACATAACCACACTTTTAAATTTTTTGGGACACATAAAATAAAAAAGTTAAAGGAGGGCGACATTATAGGGAATCACCCTGTACATATTTTTTTATTTTATTTGAAAATCTAAAAAGTCCTTTTCCAGAAAATAGTGTGCAATACTCTACATGTATGCGCTATTTAGGGCCAAAAATAGAAAGAAAACTTATATAAATTTCATAGATAAAGGTAAACTTATTTTAACTGTATTTTTAGACTTTTGATTTTTTGATACTGTTCATGGCGCCTCTCAGGGAACTGTTTTAGGTCCTCTGTTATTTGTGTTATATTTGATTTAGTTAAATATATGGTAAATTGTAAAATATGTTTGCTGATGACTGATAAATGTGATAGGGAATAATATTCAGGAAATGACTAATATTATGAACTCTTAACTCATTATAGTATTTAAATGGTTGTGTGAATATATGTGTCTGAATGATAATAAAACTAAGTATATGTTAATTGGTCCTAGAAATAAAACAAAATATTTACACTTTGATTGTATTAATAATAATAAACTAGAAAAAGTAAATAGCATAAAATACTTGGGTGTAATGATAAATGATGGATTAGATTTTAAAAATAATGTTCAATATTTGTCTGATAAAATTTAAAAAAAGATTCATTTTTATAAAACTTTTATTATACACGGTGTGCCTGAACGAAGTTTAAGCCACATAAAAATGCTGCCAAAAACTGATTGCAGTTTCTTCTTCAGGACCCTTTGGTGACTTAAAAATGATATTTACCAAAATCCTAGCTGCTCCTCCTTCGAAAATTTTTGAAAAGTCATGATTTTTTTTTAAATTTTTGTTTTTCTTAAAGTCTACCTTTGACAGAGTACACATTTGTACAAAGATTTTTATAATATTGGAGTATATTGTTAAGGAGATTTGGAAAATACTTTTTTATACTGTGCACATCATTTAATATATACAGGGTTAGCCAAAAATCGCCTCTTTTAATAAAGCAAAAGCGTAAATTCATGATTTTGGCATAACACGAAAAAAAAGATATATACCCAGTGGGTATTACCCACCCATGTTTTTTAAATCAAATTTTCTTAAGTCTTAATAAGAATCCCATTTTGTAGCCTGATAAACGTAAAAATATCTAAAAAAAATGGTGATAAGTCTTTTTTGCGTGTTATGCCAAAATCATGAATTTACGCTTTTGCTTTATTAAGCGATTTTTGGCTCACCCTGTATATATCAAATGATGTGAACAGTATTAAAAAGTATTCTTATCTCCTCAATAATATACTCTAATTTTATAAAAATCGGTGTACAAATGTGAACTCTGTCAAAGGTAGACTTTGAAATAAACAAAAAATAAAAAAAAATCATGAATTTTCAAAAAATGTCGAAAAGAGGAGCAGCTAGGATTTTAGTAAATATCATTTTTAAGTCACCAAAGGGTCTCGAACAAGAAACTGCAATTAGTTTTTGGAGGCATTTTTATGTGACTTAAACTTCGTTCAGGTGCACCGAATTTAAATTTTGTTCCACAATCTTTATTACTTTTTTATTTCTGTGAATTTGAAAATTGAAGTTTTACATGTTATATATTTCAATACATTTTTTTTTTGTTTTTGTTATGGCCCTAATAACTTCAATATGGCGACCATAGGAAAAACAAAAGATGGTGGTGGTATCTCAAAATCTAGTGGGCGGAAAAAAATAGAAATTGCAAATGTAGATAAATGTGTGACTTACTCAGGAATAACAAAGTTAAAAAGGTTTTTGGTTTTGACAGGTTTTCAGTGTTTTTAAATTATTTGAGAACCATTGATTTTTTTAAATGTTATTTTATTAGACTTGTAATTACGCAACCTTTCTCTAATTTAACCGGCCTTGTAGCTCTTTAAATAAAAAAATAAACCCATACATACTGTATAACATTATCGTAATTTATATGACTTTATTTTTCTATTTAAGTAATTTATATTTACTATTTTTTAGAGAATATGGTATCTACAACTGGTGTTATTTTATTATATTCTGCATTATATCATCAATAATCCTAATTATGGGCAACGGTTTTCTAATATTTACATTAAAAAAAGCGGAAATAAAAAACGCAAAATTAAATTGTAAAAAAAGAATGGTAGGTAACACTCTAAAATAATTTTTCAAAAAAAAGTAATAATTTTTTAGGACCACCGACACTTAACAACAGTGTTAATAATGATAATTCTGGTTTTTCTTTTGGCCATAATCCCGACAAACTTAACCTCCAGGACTAGCGCCATTAACATCCTTTTCCATGGCGATCACTATAAGGCGCACACCAAAGAGGTCGAAATAGTTCGACAAGTGTGCGCTTTGATTGGCGCGATTAACTTCAACGCCAACTTTGTGCTTTACTACGTTTTTTGTCCATGTTTTTACAAGGCGATGATGCTGATGTTCAGGAGAAAGAAAAGGGTGTCTAAGGTGGAAGTGAATGTGTATATTTTGGAGGGTGGGGTTAAGGGGGAGAAGGAAATTATTGGGGTTTCTGAAAGAGGTTTTGATACAGAGGATTTGGAAGATAAGGAAAGAACGTTAAATACATTATATTTGAAATAAATTAAAAGTGTTTTATTAAAAAATCTGCCAAATTACATAAATTCTAATAGGATTTAGATAAAAACTTACAAAAAACTTTCTATATATACAGTTTTCGAGGACATAGTTTTTTAGTAATATTTAAAAAAAAATTGTAATGTTTAAATGCATTAAAATTGAAACAATCTAAATTGTTATTTGCTTAATTAATTACTATTAAACCAAAATAGGGAAACATTTTGCCTGAATGTTAAAGAATTTATTGCGTTAAATGTATACATAGTATACATACTATAGTAACGTTATTAAATAAATCAAATTAGTATTTAATGCAATAACATTCTAACACAATGAAAATAAATATCAATATAAATATCAATAGATTTAGGATCGATAACTTTTGTTGTTAATTTAAAAACAGTAAACAATTATAACCCAGTGCTATCTACTTATTGTTATTTTAGGAACTGTTATTCAGGATTACGGATTACAAGATCCCATTGGTTTAATGGCTCACCCATTCGTGCTATGCTATCGTTTTTTCTGTGCATTTATTGGTATTGGTAATAATTTAGAGAACATTTTTCTAACGATTACTCAATGATAACTAGAGACCGGGTTGTATGCGACCGCCACTGTGGGGGCCCCACAGGGGTCAATTATGGGCACAGTTAGCCTAGAGGGCCTTTTAACAAAAAAAAATATACATGGTTTGAAACTCGGATTTTTGGAATACATAGAAGATCTACTACCATTATCAAAAAAAATTAAAATCTTTTATCGAGCCCTTTTTGAGAACTGTCAAAAAATGCTTTTTGTTCTATATCTTAACCTATTTATTGTAGGTATCTTAAAAACTATTTGACATTTTTATCTATTTTGTTAGATTTGGCTTAAAAAATGAGTTAAATTTGCAATAAAAACCAAATTCGCAATTTTTTGTTGCAGTCAATAATTATTAGATTCCTACAAATATGCTTAAAATAGTTAGCTTTACTAGAAGACGTTAGTTCTAAATTCAGTATTTGGTATCTACAATAAGGAACACGCAGTTAGCCATGATTTTTGTCCCTAGTGAAACAATTGATATTCTTTTGACATTAAACGTCAAATTTTGTTAAAAGTTTTGTTTATGTAGCGATTAATTGCGTTTTATGTAATCGCGAGTAATTATATGAATGCAAAAGTTAATACAATCTCGACAAAGTGTTAAAATTAAAATGGGTCGAATCGCCATATCACATCAACAAGCCCAACTAATGGTATGTTATGCATGTTTTTCTAAAGTCGGTAAAACCAAATATAATATAACTGGGAAAGTTTTAGAATTAGTTAAAAAAATACATCCTAACTATATTGAAAATAATAACTGCAGCCCTTCAGTACTTTGTGGCACCTGCTACTTTAAATTAAAAAGAAATACGTTGAATCACATTATTAATTACAATAATTTTAAAGTTAGAATAAGGAGGTACGAAGAGAAATGTTGTTGTCAAATTTGTGAGACAGCCCGGTTTAATATTGTTAAAACCAAGGTACGAAAGCAACCACCCATTGAAAAAGTCTCAGTCGGTAGGCCAAGAATTCGCCAAATTGATATCCCACAGTCCATAAAAATATGCTCTTTATGTAAAAGTGAAATTCACAAAGGCTTGTCCCACTCCTGTACACTTGCACAAAAAGTCTCAAACGTTGTTAATTTAGCAGATACGTGCCGACAACAGGTTGTCTGTAAAATTTTAAAAACCGAAGAATCTGCCCAAAACTGTTCCAATTTTACTTTAAATAAAGGATTTGGTTCTAGTTTATTAGTACAAGTTCAATCGGGTAGTAGCCAAAAGAAGACATCGCCAGTGATTGATACAGACACACTTAGTAAAATTTCCATCGATTGTAGACTGCCCATAAACACTATAAAGAAGCTGAGCTATCATCTAAGACAGATTGACAAACATTTGGTGGAGCCAAATGCAGTAAAGAATTTAAAAGAGCTTAGTCACAGTTTGGATGAGTATTTTGAATGCGTTACGTTGTCTCATATGGAATCTACTAAAAATACAAAGTCGTCGACACCCTTTGTTTTTTGTCATAATCTACCACAACTAGTTGCTTTTTTGCTGAAAAAACGAGACGTACATGAAAATAGTTTTCACTTAAAGTTTGGCGTTGATGGTGGCGGGGGCTCTTTGAAAGTCTGTCTCAATCTATTATCTGTCGATAGTGTGTCTGATAACCGCGGTGAAGGCAAAAACTTAAACTCGGGAATCAATAAACTCATAATAATTGGACTTGCACCAGAAACAATAGAATCTTACAACAATCTGAAAACTCTGCTTCACACTATGGACTTGCAATCCGTCTGTGGCCTTTGTCCATATACACTTGCGATTGACATGAAACTTATCATGATCTTACTTGGCCTTCAATCTAATTCATCTTCATATCCTTGCCCTTATTGTGAGGTATGTAGCAAAAATCTGAAAGATATAGCAGATCCAAGGACCATTCAAAGCATATCGCGGCAAAATGATTTATGGCTAAATGAGACTGGTGGAAATCTTTCAAAAGCAAAACTATACAGTAAGTAGTATTCAGTCTTTTAGGTCAGATAAAAATTTTGTACATAAATTGGTATTCTTGCATGTTAATATTTATTATTTTTAGAAAGCTGCGTAAATAAGCCTCTTATAGTCGGAGAAGAAAATACAAAAGTTTTAAAATATGTCCCACCACCAGAGTTACATTTGCTTTTGGGCATAACGCAGAGAATTTTTGATGACCTAAAACGAAATACGCCTGACATTGCAGAAGCGTGGATTAGGAAATCAAATCTTAAATTGGATCACTACCAGCGTTTCAATGGAAACAATGCAAGAAGATTCCTCAAAACTGTGGAAGACCTAGCAAAAATATGTCCAGGTTAATATCTATATTAACTGATTTCCTCATCTTTTTTTGTTTTTTTTCTTAAAAAAAAAAAATCGAACTTCTCTTGCAACACAAGCTTGTGTTGCGATATGATTTTATTTTTTTAAATGAATACTTCGACATTATCTACTTTTTTAGGAAACAAGTATATTCCAGCTTTTAGAGCTTTTAACAAAGTAGTTGCAAGCTGCTTTGGGGGATCACTGGATATTAATTATGAAATTTTCATTGAAAGATTTGCGTGCGAGTTAGAAAAGCTAGAAATTCCATATACACCAAAAATGCATGTTTTAGTTCATCATGTCCCAGAATTTATTAAGATGACGAATACTCAACTGGGCTATTATTCTGAACAGGCATCAGAACAATGCCATCATGCCTACAAACAACACAGTTTACATTATAATTTAAACCATAATTCTAAGAATTATCTTTACAATTTGCTTAGAAGCGTTTGTTCTTTTAATAGTAAACATATTTAAGTCTGATTTTGATTTGTAGAACTTTGTATTTGGTAAGCATTTAGGTACAGTAATTCGTTAAATATCTTCTTTATTCTTAATCATAAATTAAAATTAGGTACTAGTATTTACAGTTTGGTGTTAATGTGTTGATAATACGAAAGTTTTTTTTATATAATTCTGAGTTTGAGGACTGTATTTACAATATGGCCAACTTCGCAAGCGAAGCGGTGCGGTGTGACAGTTAGTATTACAATAATCAAAATATTGACGATATTGTTTATTTTACATATTTATAGGTTAGAAACTAACCAAATGTTGTAGTTCACAACATCATCTCAAGAGAAATAAAATAAAATATAGTATTTTAATAGGTCATTTTTACATGTCTAGCAAAAAAAAAACATTTTCCACAATTTCTCGAAAAGGGCTCGATAGAAGATTTTAATTTTTTTTGATAATAGTAGTAGATCTTATATGAATTCCAAAAATCCGAGTTTTAAATCATGTATATTTTTTTTCTTGAAAAGGCCCTCTAGGCTAACTGTGTGGGGCCTTTGTTTTTTGTTATGTTTATTAATGACATATCTGTCTTATTTAATGAACATGCTAAATTTGTATTGTATGCTGATGATACAAATGTTTTTCTTATGGATAAAGAAGTAAAAAATCTTTCCACAAACTCTTGCTTGGTGTCAAATCAGTTTAGTAAATGGTGTCAACAAAATGGATTACTTTTAAATGTTAATAAAACAACTTTATGCAATTTTTTCCAAAAAATGCAAGGCTTGATTCTAGCCTATACATAAACATTAATAGTTCATCAATAAAAACCTATATTTGCCTTATTCCAGATTGTCAGTCTCTCAAGCCTTTGCTTATCAGGGAATAAAATGTCATAATCATTTGTCAAATGTTATTTTATCTTGTAAAAATAATAATATTTTAAAGAAAAAATTACACACTATTTTTTTAAATAAAATGTACTATTCTGTTGAAGAGTTTTTTAAGGATTCTTTTTAATTTTATCATTAAATTTTATTCTTGTATATGTTATAGTGTCATTATTTTTACTTATTTTTGTGTGACTAGTCATACAGGGTGTCCCAAAAGTCAACGATATCCTTTGGAGGACTGATAGACCAACTCATGACTAACCAGAAAATCAAAACATGACCTTAGTAAGAAATCGTTAGTTTTTTAGATATAGTCATTTTTATAAATTTTGTAAAACTTGACACCTTAGATCAATTTTTCGAGTGTAACATCTACAAAATCTACTATTAGTTTAATTTTGAATTTTAATTAATAGCAGGCCTTTTCAGGGTTACGCAACATAAAATATAATCTAAGAATATAGAATTTTGTAGCTGTGGCACTCGAAAAACTGATCTTAGGTATCAAGTTTCACAAAATTCAAAAAATTGACTTTTGGGACACCCTGTTTAGGCAAAATTTACTTTGTAATTTTGTTTTACTGATGAATAAATTATTATTAATATTATTATTATGCAATATGGTATATTTTAATGTTTGTAAAAAAACATGTATTACAGACGAGGAGATAATCCGATAAGTCTCCCGAAATTAATTCACTCTGAATTGTCAACAATACAAGCATTCGAACTGCACATTATTTTTAAATAAATAATTAGTTTTCAGAGGAAGGCATAAGTCCTACTCAACAAATTCTGTTCGCAAAGTTTCAATTGCACATCCAAATCGCGCACG